GGCAAGACCCATGAATGAGAACTTTCCATTCATCCCGCTTAGAGCGCTGGATGGGGGGAGGGGGACGTTTCTTGTGATGGCTCGCTCGCTTGTTTGGTTCCCGGTGGGAATTCCAATCTTGGTACTACTACTAATCTAATGTGGTGACTTGTGAGTCTATCTGACAGGGATCTATATGAGTGAAGCGGAGAAGGGTGTGGGAATCATCCCACTTTGGTATCGTTCGAAATGAGATGAAGAATACACAGTAGAGAAGACTTCTCGGTGAATCTAGAAGATAACAAATAATTTATTATTTTAAGGAAAAGAAAGAAAAATATGGAATGTATACCAGAAATTGAGCGAATAGCAACAGCATCTCGTAATTCTCCTTCCACAACTTCGTATCCCTCTTGGGTAGTCCGAACTGTAAGGATAGTAGACAGGAGAGGATGTACGTAGTACGTCTTCACAGTTCACACACACATCCACAGCCCCCCTCCTCCCCATAAAGCAATCTGGCAAGAACACTTGACCATCCTTGGCCAGCTGCATGATCGACCATCTCGGTTCCCTTACAGCAACTGGTTGGATGTTCCTTGATTCGCGACCACACCCTCAGAGGGTGAACAGCCACCGACGGACCTAACTAACCGGTCTTTGCGGTCTCGAAGCATGGCGTCTGGCTTCTGTAACACCATCAGATGCTCCCTGTTGCCTTCTTGGGGTTTATTTAACTTTGCTTCGCGCGGCTGTCACCCTCCTTCACACACACACAAAATCCCCATCACGCCAACTGTGTCCCGACATGGAGTGTCACACACTTTCCCGACCCATTTTCAGAGTCCGACAGGCGACAAGGCGTATTTTTCCCACCACCGAGGGGTCACCACTTCCCAATAGTATAGTATAGTATCAGCATGGCGGTGAGACCCCATGTACCAAGTTTTGGGGACCCATCCTTTGCTCGAATGACATCCGTCCAGGTGTCTACTTTGTCGCATGGTCTCCATAGTGGCTGCATCAACCCTATCGAGTTCGCAGGTGAAGAAAAAGAGGCATACATGCTGTACTTAGTGATCATGCATATGCTGCCTGCTCAAATCAGATCACATTTAATCTCACCGAAGACTCATGCATTAACATTAATAGTTTGAAAAGCATGAAGCGCCATGGAGATATTGCATTCTCAGTCAGTTCTACAGTCTGCGGTCTTGCAGTCTGGAAAACTCAAGGCTATCGAATGATATTGTTGCCTTCATTTGACAACTGACTCGGCAGATGCCTTGAGTAAGACATCTAAAGGGGGCAAGAGAATGGGTGCCCGACACTCTGTCTTGTGTTTGCAATGGGAAGATCATGCCAATAAACACTGGCGAGGACCATGTGACCGAACAAGCTTGAGATCTATTAAGAATCTGAGTTTAATGATATCATCCCTTCATCTGATCAGAGGTCCGACATGCACCTCATGACTTGACGTTGATCTTTGGGATGAAATCAATTTTCTAACAGTAAAGTCTTTTCATTGATGCCTTATTTGCATTAGCTAAATGATCCTTCCTTGTGTGGTCGGGAACACGCATAAACGCATTTACTGCTCCCTGTAGCTATAGCGGTGTTGTCAGTACTTTGAAAGTTTGTAGATTGTAAGCAAAACGAGTAAGCAGCAAATTCGAATTCAAACTTGGAATTTACCTAGCGTGATCAAGCTAGAACGGTTTTCTATAGGTCGTCTAAAGCATACCAGAATGAAGGAATGAAAGCCAGAAAGAGGAGACACACCAGGAGACTCCCGTCGCAGTGTCGATTAGATTGACTCGATCGCGATGCAGCCGTTCGACCAATCTAAGCTAATCCTCTTTGGGAAGTGGTCTTCCCGAGTCAACGGTTGCAACCTCAGATCATGGCTTCCAGCGCGAAATTTAGCCCGACTTCTTCACAGAAGGAGGTGTCACATCCAAGATACAGCAATCTGATCTCATTTGACGTGAAAGCCGCTATTCTACGTTCCGCAATGACTATAGCACTACCCTTTTCAATATGTCACACTCTTCCCCGGAACCCGTCCCGTCGACTTTTACGTCCGCCGATTCCTTGAAGACCCATTCACGCTACACCTATCGTCACCTACAGCTTCTCCGTCAAAGTTCAACAGCAACACCCCTGCGAGTGATTGCTCATGTCGATCTCGATGCCTTCTACGCACAATGTGAAATGGTGCGCCTGAGGACACCCCGCACGGCCCCTTTAGCTGTACGACAATGGGACTCGCTCATTGCGATAAACTATCCAGCACGATCCTTCGGTATAACGAGAATGATATCGGCAGCAGAAGCTAAGAAGCTATGTCCGGATATCATCCTACAACATGTGGCCACGTTCCGGGAAGGAGAAGGTGGGAAATGGGCGTACAGAAACGATGCGTTCAAGCGGATGAACACCGATAAGGTGTGCCTCGACCCATACCGGGCGGAATCGCGCAAAATCTTGAAGGTGATGAAGGAGGAACTGGCGAGATGGCATAGGGAGCTGGTTGGTGACGAACAGGGGGCTGGCACTCAGTCTACAGTACAGCACGCTGGTCTTGAAAAAGCTAGCGTTGATGAAGTCTTCATTGATCTGTCACCTCTTGTGCACGGTGTCCTCCGTCAACGGTATCCTGAACTGAGAGCTGGACTGCAAGGTGATGACCGTGTCACTCCACTTCCTGTCCCGCCTACGACTGCGCTTGAGTGGGACTTTGAGGATTGTTTGATCGATCTGGACGAACATGAGACAGAAGTTGATGACCCCGACTGGGATGACATCGCTATACTGATAGGGTCTGAGATTGTTCGGTCGGTCAGGGCAGCTGTTTGGGATCGGCTCCAATACACTTGCTCTGCGGGTGTTGCCAAGAACAAGATGATGGCGAAATTGGGGAGCGCCTGCAACAAGCCGAACAAGCAGACCATTGTTCGGAACCGTGCTGTACAACGATTTCTCAGTGGCTACAAATTCACAAAGATTAGGATGCTTGGGGGTAAGCTTGGTGACCAGGTTACCGCAATGTTTGGAACAGAACAAGTGAGTGACCTTCTGAAAGTGTCTCTCGAGCAATTTCGCGCCAAACTGGATGACGATACTGCTACCTGGCTTTATGGAATCATTCGGGGAGAAGACAAAAGTGAGGTCAACTCGCGGACCCAAATCAAATCGATGCTTTCAGCCAAGTCGTTCAGGCCGAGCATAAATTCGGTTGACCAGGCAGACAAATGGCTTAGTATTTTTGCGGCCGATATTTTTGGCCGCCTTGTTGAGGATGGCGTTCTTGAGCACAAGCGCCGCCCAAAAACAGTTGCTTTGCATCACCGTCAAGGGGCTCAGGTTCGCTCCCGTCAACTTCCCATTCCCGGATCAGTACCCATCGATGAAACATTGCTGTTTGAGCTTGGGAAAACACTCTTCCGGCAGGTCATAGCAGACGGACGTGCATGGCCCTGCGCCAATCTCTCCTTGAGCGTTGGTGGATTCGAAGACGGCGTCTCGAAGAACCGGGCAATAGACTCTTTCCTCCTTCGCGGTGAACAGGCAAAAGCCTCACAACCGAAGAGGGATCTGATGGCTGAAGAGTCGTCGGATGCTCAGCAACCCGATGAGAAACGCCAGAAGCTGGAAAACAATGGCATTAAGCGGTTTTTCCTCAAGCCGCCGGAGACTGACCTACACCCTGACCAGGATGATCCTGAAGCAGAAGATATGGGAACCGAGCTCAACGAGCATGCAAATCCAGCCCTTCAGCCCAAGGACCCCTCATCTGAGCTAATAGAAACGTTACCAGAGGGTTATACCTGCAGTCGCTGCGGCAGCGTACTACCAGAGCACGAGAGGGGTGAACATGATGATTGGCACTTTGCCAAAGACCTGGCAGATGAAGAACGACAGGCATCCAGCGTTCCTCAACAGCCCCCAGTACCCACAAGCAAACCCGGAGCATCTAATGCTCGTACTAAGGCCAATCGTAGCAATCGGGGTAAGCCAGAGAAGGGGCAGACTCGTCTCAAATTCGGGTAAGGCTCAACTTTATATGTAGCGAGATATCAAGATATAGTATATAATCCAGGATCAAGTACAGTCAGATCCTTCGAAATTCAAAAATAGAATTGAACGCTGTGTGTCTCACGTTTCAGTATTTATTACCGAATACTGGTGGCCTCAGATCGCGATTTCCCAATTGTGTTTGGCTCAAGGCACCAACTTCCATTACACAATATTTAATTTGAAACGAGCCACAGATTACTTCTGTTCCCACTTTACTTATCAGTGCCACTGGTAACTACCTACCATACCAACAACATCAGTGGTGCTATTTAGCATCTCATTGGAGAAATAACTGGAAACCAGCATCGCCAATCATCGATCAGACCTACTCTGTTTTAGTTGTGGCGATGAATAATATATCATCATCATACTACTACATTTCCGCCAGCTGAACCACGGTTCCACGACTTCGCTAGGCTTTTCTCACTAGTACTCAACTCTCTACATCATTTCCACATGGTTTGAAGATTATACAAGCCATTTGAATCATTCATCCACCAGCTAAAAGGATAATGTGGTGGCTCGTATTCAACGAGCAGTTGGGAAGATTTCTCGGGCAGAGAACCCGTGCTGCAGCATGACATCAGCCGACTCAGCCGCGGGGTCGCTTCCAGGCTGGACTCGCTCGGATGCCTATCATCTTGCAACCAGATATTTTCCATCACTGACATAATAGGAATAACGTTATCGTCAGGCTGATTTTCCTACGGTGGAATGACTTGATCGTCTCCTGCTAGTGCCGTGCTTCTGTCGCATAGCAGCTGCTCCTGCCTCCTGCCTGCTCCGTCGCTCATACAGCTGCTCAGGAACGTCGCACACCAGCCTTAACCGCCTAGCGAGAACCTGCTGTTTACCCTTTACATGTCGCTCTTTGATAAATCTATTTAGTGCGCACATCTTTGGCCATTGTGGCATTTCTTTATTCTTAACGACACACCATGCCTCGACGAGGTCGTGCTCGAGAATACGACGAGGAGGACATGTACGAAGTTGAGCGTGATGTGTATCCACGACGAGGCAGGGATGAGCGTTTCTTCGAGGAAGATATAAGATACAAACGTCGAGGATCGGAGGGACTACCGCTTGACAAACTTGAACGCTTACACCTGGAAGCTCAAAGAAAACCGGAGATGTTACGTGAGCCTCATGGCTATCCTCGTGATTTAGCGCCTCCAATCCTGAGACGTGAGCCAGAAGACCTTGAACCACCTCGTGAGAGACCGCGCCGCTTGAAGAAAGACTGGGATGAACAACCCCCTCTTCGCGGACGGCCTCGTTCGAGGGACCGGGATATAGAGGAAGAGATCACGTTTCGCGAGGAAACGGATCGAAGATACACTGACAGCGAGTCTGACAGTGATATCGTTCTTGTGCCGAGAAATGAACGACCGGTGCATCGACGCAGGTATGAGATTCCAGAGGTCGCACCTAAACCACGCAGTCGGAGTCTTCTGGAGGAAAGGAGACTGCGAGAACTGGATTATAAGCAAGGTGACGTGCGGCTTCGAAGGCCCGATGTGGAAGAACACCATAGGAGGCACCGCAGTGGCCCTTTCTATGAGAGGTCATCGCATTCGCGACACAGGCACAGATCACACCGACACAAAAGTTTAGATGATGCTGACGACGAGCTCGATGAAGAGGTCGATGAGGAGGAAGTCTCATTCTGGGACCCTAGGGAAAGAAGACCTGAGCGAAGTGTTGAGGAAAAGGAGATTATCTTCGAAAGACGGGAAAGGTCGTCATCTCCAGAAATTGCAATCCCTAGAGCTCCATCGCCGGGGCATGGTAGGCCTATTCGTGATGGTAAGAGTTGTTCTCTTCCTTATGTATCCCAGCATTGCTCATTCACATTCATTCGTAGGCTTTAGAACAAAGCCTAGCATGCCTCGAGCTCATAGCCCTGAGATCACACTTACAGAAGCAGAATTTCGCGAACGGTATGTCTGGACAAGCTATATCTTCAACTATAACCCGCTCACCCTTGAATAGTGAGAGACGCCGGAAAGGACGACGGGATAAAGAAGAGATCCTCTTTCTTCGACGAGAGGAAGAGGAATTCCCTCAACCTCGGCGGGAAAAGGTTGTACCTATCGACCCTCCGAGGCCTAGGTCAATGGAGCGCGAGAAGGAAAGGCTTACAGTGATACGGCGGGATGGTAGCCGAGAGTCCCTCGTCGAAGAAGAATTTGAAGAAGAGGATATCTACAGGCTCCGTGGGCATCGCACACCTCCTAGGAAGGACATTAAGACGATGGAGGAGCTGGATATTGTCAGAGCCGAACCCAAGGAAGAGAAACGGACTGAGATAGTTACACAAGAAATCAAGCCTTCACGATACGGCGATCGTGAGTCTAAGCTTGTTGTTAAAGACGTGAAAGAGTCTGACAATATCCCGGAACGGCAACTTGGGCGAATAGGACGACGATACGTTGGACTCAAAGACCGTCGTGACGGCCTTTGGACGGAGATTACGAAGGACCTGATAGTGAGAGAGGCCCTTGAGCGGTCTGGCTATGAGTATGAGGAGACCGAGTCCTTCTATTACATATTTTCCTACCTCGAGCAGGCATGTTTCATTTTTCTTTGTGTGCCACCTGTCTATCCCCTACTGACAGACTTGCATAGAACGACGTCGACGCACTGATTGAGCGCTCGGAAGAGATTCGGCGTGCACGCCGTCGTCGAATTCAAGAGATCCACCGTGAGCGAGCAGCTCTGCCTCGTGTAGTTGCTCCTCCTCCACCACCTCTGATACCTGCAGCCGAGAAAGCAGCGCCCCTGCTTCTCGACAACCAACCACCACCTCCCCGCTTCGTTCGGGATGAGCGGAGAAAGAAGGAACGGGATCTGGTCGTCGAGGGCAACCGCTGGAGGGGCCCTCAGCGCCCAGGGCGGTGGTGAAACAGCGGACTTTTTTTTTTTTTTTTGTTGGACTTATACTACAGCTCCAATATACCCTGGTCGGATGCAGACCCGAGTCTGTTTGGGTTCCCAGATACCCGTCTTGCCGTTGTTGTTGTCAGGTTCCAGACCACATCATAATTGTCTATATACCCTCACCTTGGATGAAGCAATATATGAATAGTATCTAGTACCTTGCTTGGTTGCTTACTTGCTAACTAACTAACCACCTAAACCAAAGACAGTAAACCACAAACAATAACAACAACAACAATTAATCGAAAGAGAACCAACAACAGCCCCAACCCAAACCCACTAAGCAATCAAATCAACCAACACAATCGCACCGTACTGCTGCTGCTGCTGCTGCTGCTGCTGCGCCTCACCCACAACAACAACAAGCCGAATCAAGCCAAGCCACGCCAACGACAACAAGCAGTAGTAGCAGCCCCCAATCCCAATCCATTCCCTACTTACCATTCTCGCTTGCAACCCGTCTACTACGTACCAGAAAAGAAATAGATTAAATGGAACCTAAGCAAAGCATAGCATAGTTAGTTAGCATATACCCAAATCAGCCTCACAAGCCGTCCATGCAGATGATCATGCAGTACGGAGTAAACACAACATACATGTATCTGTGTTGTATGTATGTGTGTCATGTATCTACAGGGATGAGAAAAATGTATGTATGTACCTTATGTTTCAGAATTTCGGGGATTCGGCCCCCGTTAATTTGACGAGTCACATAGGATTTTTCTTTCTTCTTTTGGATTGCTTTGGTTGTGGAGGAATTTACTGTATGTGGTAGGTACTTGGTTATGTTATGTGTGGGTAGTTGGTTTCTTTGATTAGTGATGGGGATTCGAGGGATGGGGGGAGCTCATGTGATGTGTCTATTTACTATTGTTGCTATTAATTGAGCGGAGTGGTATATTTAGGGATGATGGGGGTGTGTGTGTGTGACTACTTGACTATAGGGCTCTCTTGTCTTGCTCTGATATAACTTAGTAGTTAGTTCTAAATATGTCATGTGTCAGTGCACTGTGTATGCGTGCGTCTGTGTTAAACATCGATGAGTATCCATCCCATGAGTAGATAGTAACATCTATAAATAAACCTAATAAAGAATCGGGTACAGAATGATACTGCATACTGTGAATAGCAGGTATAGATAGACTGGTGTCGTAGTAGTATCGACTGACAGCTATATGCTTATCTCCACTTCCTTAGTACGTAGGTCTGAGAGTTATTCCTGACTCGTCTGGTAGATAGTAAATAGTTAGTCAAGCGAGGCAGCCCTTCCGGGCTCCATCGTAGGGGAAATGAAAAGGTGGTGCTGCTATTGTTTACCGTTGACCAAAATTAGGACCGGACGGAGGAAATTGCCAGGAGATGAAAAATACGCCGCTAGAGTAAATTAAGTGTCCACCAAAGGGATGGCCGATGTGCTACTATTTTTGTATGGGTGGACTCATAGTTGATTGATTGATTGATTGTTGTTTGTGCTTGGGACTTTGTTGTTGTTTTTCATATTTTTTGTTGTGGTAGATGCGGGTATAGTGTTGTTTGTTTATTTAATCTAGCAATGTTAGTGAAGTCCTTTACTCAGTTTCCCCTTATGTGCACACATTGAGCTCAGGAGAGATGGAAAGATGCCTGCTGACTGATGAAGAGAGAGTAACTACTTTCAGAAGGACCGCGCCCCGCTTACGAATCACGGATCGGCATGTGACTAATCAGCTCACGCCCTGGATTCCGTTCCGGTTTTTTTGCTTCGCTCCCTTCAGCCACATTGCTTTTGCGGGAAGAGCGATCATCGTGATGGAGTCCTCCACATGGAGTAAGCATTACCAAATGCCGATATTAAGGATAGTGCGATGGGCACTGGGCTGGTTACGGCCCGGCAAATTCTGTTTGTGAGTGATTTGGTAACCTTGCTGACATTGCGATAGTCTGATCGTGTCCCGGGTTGTTTCTGATGGCTGCACCAGCCACACTTGGGTTCCATGGTTCACTGGCACACTATATTCCCTTGGTACCGCGATATCAATGCTATCACCCCCTTGCGGATGGCTTCACAGATAAGGCTAGCGATCTGGCTGTCGCCCGGTCGGCATTGCCGTAGTTCCCGTGAGGGTACCCCTTCATATCTGTTTGAAAGGCTAAGAACGAAGGGCATTCCGCTGTGAGTCAATTCTAGGCCAAACTGTTCAGCTGCTCATGCCATCATCATGCGGCTCCAGCAAAAAAAGGAATAGTCTGTTTTCTGATCGCCCGTATAGTGGAAGTACTGGGTACAGATAGACGGTCCCTATCAATACCGTAGGATGACCTAGACGTGTGCTGAACATGCCCCGCCAGGTAGACAGACAGTAGTCCAACTGCATACCATATGACCGGGAGTTTTGACTCGAGCGAAGGCACCACAAAATAGTAGTGTGATAGGAAGGTAGAACCTGAAAGGCGGGGTTTCAAAAATTTAGGTTACTGGCGTCATCCTCGCATCGCCTGTCTGGGTAGATGGGCTTTGCACAGCTCATTGGCCAGATGACAAAAATGCCAATAGCTTAGCACTATCGACGGTGCAGTAGTTTAGTGCAACTCCAGGGATATGGATGCATGTCCGGAGCACCAGGCAAGAATGTGTCTAGCGCGTTATCATATGCTGTTCCGTACCGTTAGCAGAGTCGGAAGCAATGTTATCGAAGGATGGGGTTTTAATCACTCTGAACAGAGAGCACAGCCAGACTGACTTCTCGTTGTCCCAAGCATATTCTTCTGATCTGGCTCAAAAAAGGCGATCTCATGTCCGCTTAGTTGGGCGAGAATGAGGCTTGCTGACAGGGGCAAAGAATTACGGGAGGGCCGCGGGCACCATCTTATGCATATATCGCAATAAGACCTAACGATGATCGATCGCAAAGCTTGGGAATGCCTTCGATATCAAGCCGAATATTGTCGATCTTCTCTCATCGTTCCTGTGGATGAAGGAAGACACGACTAAATAAATATGAGTAGTGTATTCCTAGCCTTCCCAGCAATGCGATCGTTTCATGATCCTGGCGATGAAGTCGCAGGGTGCAATGCAACAAATTCTCCGTGCTACCTCGCAGGAAGTGAGTGCAGTGATGCGGATGCCTTGCTGCAAGCAACAGAAGTACGAAGCAAGTGAGCAACACCTTGCTGCCTAGTGACTCCGGAGGGAGCCCGTTGGCCCCATGCCACCTGTTTACAGGACTGAATCATCCCCGAAGCTCTTCACCGGAAGTATACTTTAGCTCCCACGATGATGGACCGAGTCACGTCTAAGATGTATGTAATCATGATGTCGGATGGCAGCATCTGAGCGACATGGTTTGTTTATGATAGTGCAAAGCTTGTATGGCAGCGGCCCAGACGAGCATCCAATTGTAGGGCGTGCCTGTGCCATGACACGAGGTTTTCCTAACCGTGGAAGGAGCTGGAGATGCGACCGCATGATTTGTCACTGCCTAAGCAAGTTGGTTTCGATTAAACTTACTAGTTAATTTGTTAAGTTAACACCTGGATCTGACCAACTTTCGGACATCCGTGGATCCTATGGTGGACATCCTTGGGAGAGTAGACGGGATAGGCCGGCTGAAACCGTCGGTCCACCACTTGTTATCTCCTTTCTCTCCCAGGGACGTATTCTACCAAGTCTACTACTGTGGTACTTCACCTTTGACCCTTTCCCTTGCCTTTGAGATTCGACTTCGTTCCAGCCACGGCCAGACCAACAGAGACGCGACAGGGCCAAGCCCAAAGGCAGCGGGAATAATTTACATCATACGCGGGAATCGGGTCAGCGCACCACCGATCCTGCCTTCTAGACCTCTCCTTCCTGCCGGGTTGCAACTCCACTTGCTGCGGATTCTAAGACCAGGAGTTGTCCTGTGCGGTGGCGAGTGCCGTATGATTTGTTTGTTACGTATCTTACCTTGCATATCGGGTTTGTTACTGTACCCTGTACAGTCAGTGTGTATCTTGTGTATTATCTTGCTTGCACTAGCCCAGAATAGTCCTAGTTACTATCGCAAGATAGACACTAAAATAGTCATCATCTCCTGGGAATTGTTTACCCCCACCTCTAGTCTGGTAGCTAAGTAGTAGTAGTGATTTCTTCTTCCTCCTCCTTCTCCTCCTCAATAGGCAGCGACCGTTTGTCACTTGACTACAAAGTAATTTCTTTTCACCATCCACATACATAAATCTTAACACAGTAAATAATAAAGATTCTCCAGAAAAAAATAAATAATAAATATTCAGCAATTAGTCCTACTTATCATTCAACCAAATCAATGGTGACTGCCTACGTATCAGGTACGACGACAGCTACACTGGGCCACGCAGTGTTGGCCCAGCCACAACCAATCAACGGTTCAGGATCTGCGGCCGTGGCCCTGTCTCAAACGCTGAATACCTGGCTCGGTTACAAAGTGGCTGAACCGGTAGATCCATTTTCCTTGGGTACGCTGTAATATCCAACATCGATGCCCACTTGGTTGCTCCATATCTACGGTCGGGGCGTCCTCACACAGCCAGTAACACTTCACACAGGAGCTTTTCTAAGTGCCCGTCCGCTGTGTCAGACAAAGTGACGCAGGCAAGAAAATAGGCAGCTAAACCCCTCCTGGTTGGCTTCGTACCGGAACCCGATCCAAGTAAGCTACAGTAGGCAAGGAAGGAGAATAAGCAACTAAGCCAGAATGTGTATCTCTCTTTCTCTGGGATGGGAGGATCGCGGCCCCATGCAAAGGATAGATAGTGGTTTCAGACTAGGATTGCGTTGGTCCTGAGCTTAGAATTTACAGAGACATAGATACATACTTACATACACACACTCACAGTAGGCAGACTACATGCCACTGATCACAAAGATAGAGTTTGCCTCTTTTAATGAAATTGTTTCGTTTCCTTTGATCAAGTCACTTTAAAGGGCGCTCAGCACCTCTTAGATTCTAGAGTTTGGTTTGCATGACTGACTGTCCGTCCTGTCCATTCTTCATGTGTTTGTATTTATTAAATCACTCTCGCTATCTTCCACTCTTTTTGCCCTTTCTTCCCTCCCCCCTTAAGAGCCATTTTACAGTGGGCTTCGTTGACCTTTGCAAATATTTTCTCCTCTCTTAACGTGGTGGCGCCATACCGTAAGCATACTGTAGGAGACTCCTAGCAGATCGGAATTTGTATTTTGTCCAGGTACGAATGTAGACCGATTTTTACCAAATACGTGATTCGGGACAGGAGTGTCAGCTTGCCCACTTGGGGAAAATACCACTGGCTGGGGGCGAGAGAGTGAAATAAAGATACTGCGACCAAGCTCCTCCTGGTGAAAAGTAAACACAGGGTCAGTATTCCCCGTGAGCGTTGTCATACACGTTGGCGGAAGTCTTTTTTAGAGTGCTTGGTGGCATTTGGCAGATCCCATCATCGAGATAGAGAAAGAAATGCTTGACTCCAGCCCCTCCAAAAAAGAAAGAGTGTGTATCCGGGTGTACCAAGCACAAAATCGGCTGGTAACAGGTAAAAGCGACGGGAGGAATACTCCGTACAGCGACGCGTATGGACCCGACGGTTGGTTAGCCCGCTAGACCCGATGCGGCCTGCGGCCCACTGCAAAGCGGGTAAGCCGGATTTTTATTTTTATTCTTTTTTCCTCTTGTTTTCTTTTTCCCCATACTTCATACATAATTAGTACCGTTACCTTCCTTTCCATTTCACCATGATATACCTCCTCTTTCTCTCGCTCTGCTGCTGCTCGCACCCACGGAGAACGTACTCCGAGTGATATTTTACTTACTGACCTGGCCCCAATAATTTTAAAATTTCCAGGTGCAGGTTTCTAGAACGGTTACTGGCAGTGGCCACGCTGGTGTGGAACATCGGGACTAGGCCAGCCTGATTCCGTTTCGGTATTCGCATTTTACTCACTCACTCTTCCTTACCACTGCGGCCTCTCCCACTTGCAGGCTTCCCGCTGGCGTCGCCGTAGTCTAGTCCACCTCTCCTCCTCATCCATTCCCATCCTCTCGGGCCTGCTCGACTCACCCCGAGAAGATTTGTCTTTCTCCAACCTCAATTGTGTCTCTCTTTCTCTATTACCTCTCTTCTACCATAATCCCCCCCTTTCCACTTCTCCTTCACCTGCGCCCTGAACGCAACACCACCCCTCGTTCTCGCCATTTACACTCCTCCCCTGGTCTTGGTTGGAGGGGATGATGCCGATTACCTTCTAATCCTATCGGCACTGTGTTGATCCCGTATTCCCACCAATGTCTGGTTCGGCGTTCCCTCGCAGTTGAAAACGCCCCTTTATTGAACCGATTCATTTTTTCATCGTTCCTAATACGACTCTAAAGCCGTCCATCTGATATCTGGTACGTACTGATTCGGAGTCGAGCTTGCGAAGAGTTATCTGGGAGGTCCGTGGCTGATCGGCATCAGCTATCTTCGGTCTACCTTCACCTGCGGGACGTCTACCCGAATCTCCTGTCGTTATAGTACTCGCTTCGGGCACGGGCCTGACGGATCAATTGTTCGACTGGCGGGCCATAGCAGCGTTCTGGATATTCGCCATTCTGATACACTCGAAAAAGTCTTCAAACTGTCGGGTGGGAGCTCGGCCATCTATCAAGACACCTCCATAAAGTGGGAGCGTGGACCAATTGAATTCGGCATCACAGCCACCTTATAATCACCGTTCGCTCGCACACAATCGTTGAAACGCCAGGAGCTCGTCAACGAATACGGTCGGAATTTTCGCCATGCGGGCCGACTTCCTTCTTCCACCATTGCTTGGTGTGATTGCCTTGCTTGCTTGGCCTGTGTCGGTCGCATCCTCTCTCACCTACTGTTCTTCGGTAAATACAGGCTCCTCGCAAGCAGCAAGTATGTGTTATTCGTGGCGTTGTCATGATCCGGTCACTAACCTCATGCAGACGAAAGTACCTACCAGTCCAATGGTCTTTGCGAGGACCACTGCAGCAACTATGCGTTTGGTATTCTTCAGGGATACGACTGCTGGTGCTCGAACATTGTTCCCAATGAAGCGACCAACGTGAACACTTCGCAGTGTAGCCAGGATTGTCCTGGTTACCCCGATGATAGCTGTGGAAGTACTTCAAAGGGCCTTTACGGTTACGTTGAGATCGTTGGACATCAGCCGTCCGGAACAGCAACCGTCTCTACGACATCGACATCGTCAACCTCGGTCAGTAGAGCCCTTTCCTACTCGTTCGGAGTCTTTGGGTCGTGATTTGCGCACTGCCGATGTCTCGACTCGCCAGGCATGCTAGCCTTCCATGGCTGAACGTTTCCCGTATGGTCCGTTGCCTTGCACAGCGAACGAGTCTGTTGACAGTGTTGCTATCAACTGTGCCATAGCTGCTTCGGTCGCTGAAGTGCGCAATGACCTGCCAGGTCTCAATGCTTATGATATTGAACAGGACTGACGTTTTCCAGACTTCTTCATCATCTGAAACTACTGCTGCTACGACGACGGGAGAATCTGTTGCAGTCACAACCGACTCTGGGGTGGTCAAAACGGTCACAATTCCCGCTGCCACAAAAGCAACTTCAACGTCTGCAGCGGACAACCTTTCATCCGCAAAGAGTAGCGACAACTCTGGTATGAGCTCAGGAACCATCGCTGGTGTTGTGGTAGGCTCTGTCGGTGGTGCCCTCGCCATCCTAGCCTTGATATTCGTGTTGTTCTTCGCGAAACGCAAATCGCGGTCGAACAGCCCAGATCCAAGTGTACAGTCCATCCTGCTGGATGGAAGACAAAGCAAAGGCTCACAGATGAGTTTTATGAAGGGCATGTTTTCCGACAATCATAGTCATACCTTGTCTGCCGGGTCCGCTGCCAGCCGCTTGCCGACGTTTACGGACAACCGCATGAAAACCGATACCGTTCTCTACGCGAATGGCCGCCGAGATAGCGATGTCTCACTCCAGGATAATGAAGATTATTCTCGGCCTGTGTTGCGGGTCAGTCCCCATGTTTTCCCTATCGTGATGTCTGATATTGGAACGCTAACACGTGACGCAGCTCACAAACCCCGATTAACGGTTGGGTGTCGCAGAACCCTATCTCTTCGTGTTTTGCATTTACATCTCCTATGTATTTCGATTTGCGTGTTTCGGCGAAAACAGCGGTGTTATGATACCCATTTGTCACATAATCCTTGACTTCCTTTTCATTCGACTACAGGAGAGACGATGGACTCGACAGCCCCACCCCTCCGAGAAAAACCCCCACCTCCGGTGTTTCGATCATCACGATGTCTACGCGTCATGCATCCTCACGGTGGTGCGTTGGGTAGAGGGGCGGGGAAGCTAAAAAGCATTTAAAACGGACCCTCATTCGCCTTTCGGAGGCGGAAAAACATAGCCGCCTGGCGACTACAACAAAACTTACTACGCAAAACCACGTCATCAGGCGCGGCTCTTCTCAGATTCCATCGATTCTTTCCCCTGATATTGTCGACCTCCGTGTATATCGAAGCACAGGGACCTGTGCTACAAGCTGAAGTACATACTCTAATGGATTAACCAGAATCCTTCCCCTCGCTCTTGTTTTCCTACTTCGAACCTCTTTGTCATCTAGCCCCTGTTTTTCTGTTTCATTTTCATTTCCATTTCCATTGTCTGTTTTTCTATTATTACAAGTGTCAGGGTTACATGGAGCGTCATTTGAGATTCGCATGAATGCATTGAAAGATTAGTCGGTGTGAGACATGTCGCTATCATTGGGTTCAACCTGTAATCTTACCACGATGGATCGAAGTTGTTCTGATAGCGAAAGATGCCGTGCATCTATACTAATGATGTATTGCAATGGGCTTAATACCGGACCGAATACTAAAGGCATCGATCTGTTTCCATACATACCATTCCCTCTACCTGTCCCATGCCACTTCCACAAGGTTCTATGATCTATCTATCCATGGTCCCTCAACCCCATCGTAGCGGGCCCCAGACCCAAACCCCAGCCCAGCCCAGCCCGTCAATCGCACCTCTAACAAACCGGTTTCTCACCGGTTCTTTCCAAGTCGCTCCGGGCCCAGAACATAAAGTGACAGCTAAACCTTACGACGCACGGATTACCCGCTCCCGCGCCCAGTTCGAGATCTATTCCAGTGCCAATCAAGTCTGCCTAAGCCACACGTCGTTTTTGCCACTTTCCACGATCAACCTACCTAACTACCCTTAGTCTATCTGTATGTACGGACCCACGGCCTGGAACTATCTACTTATGCTGTCCGGGTACCTGCATTGCCAATGAAGTTTTGCCACCTAGTAGTTGTTTCGAGTTTGGGGTTTGCGTGGAGATAGCTAGTTGCTGGTTCTTGAATACGTAGACAGGGATGGGGCGTGCTTCGTGTGCTTTTTTTTACCGATGAGTTGTGCGTGTGTAAATGAATAATGAATCTGTGAAATGAATCTGTGGTCATGGACGTCTGGATGTGAGTTTTGTCGGTGGTTCTTGTAATATTGGTTTTGTATGAGGAGGGACTGTGATTAACTTTGCCTGGTTTCACGACAGGTCTGATATATCTAGGGCGTGCTCTTCTGATAATGCTTTCCCATCCCGGCATGTAGCTATCTGCAGACAATGACCTAGCCAGAAAAACTGCCACAGGTAATCAATCTTGGATCTCAGCTGCTCAAAATTGATAGATCTTTGCCGACTGTGTGTGAGGGTCGGACAAGTATGGACCAATATCTGCACAACACTGCCAGACTATGTCCTTTTCTCGGGAATACAACCGCCAAGCTTCCCAAAGAGGCTTAATCAGAGGCATCTTATGTTGAGCAACGTCTTTGGAGATCTCTTGTGGCAGTCTGGGCAAGATTATCGACATACTAGCCCGAGATATCAACTCCGGGGAAGAACCCCAATCACGGTCGAGTCACTTGCCAGGATCCCGGCATGGCTGATCCGTTTCGGATTTGTGCAGAGACAGGTCAAGCCCGGTGCGTTGCCGCGACGAATCCCATGCATTGCACGGTGGTGAAGTGATGCAAGATGCAAGCAGGAAGTATGGGAAACAACCTGGCGGCACATGACTAACCCCGCTGCGGGATAGTTTTGCCATTCCAGGCAATCCAACTCTCGCCTCTCAACGCTGCCTCTTTCCCTCTTCCGTCAGCTGGACCCAGCATCCTGCTATTCCTCGGTTTGTTGCGTCTCTTGCCTGCTTAGACTGATCATCATGATGTCGTGGGCCTATTTCTATCCTGTCGCAAGCCACAGACCCCCTCAAACCCCTACCCCCTCACCTGGTGCAAGGAACTCGCTTCCGGCGGTTATCTGTATACCTAATGATTACCACAGGGCGGAGAGATATAGGTGGTACATATAATTCAGGCTGACGAACCAAACGTTGTTGGTTACATTGCAGCGGATGTACTCATCCCTTGTAGTGTTCTGGCTCGGTCTCGTTGTGTCCCCAACGTTATCTCGAGTACGCACCAGATGGACGACGGTGGGACATGACATTGCTATAGGCGCGTCTTAAAAACCCTCGGCGCATCGTCCCAATGGAAGAGCAGTGGGAGCTGGCGAATCAGCCGCGCCTCTCAGCTAGAAAGGTTGCGCCGATCCGTCATGAGTCTGCGCCTGAGCCTGTTATCGTGTCGTGTTGACCGCTGGCCATGGAAGAGAAGCATGTCGGTTATCAAAGCTTCTGCGTCGTATCTGACTGATACTGTCCTTATCTTTGTTTTATCTGCATTGCCGCACCAAACAGAGTAAATTCTGTCGAGGGATGCCACCTTTATGCAGCAGGATATCCGATTTATCAGCTGGGATTTCCCCAGAATTCTGGGGCAGGCTGAGCTTTCCTAGTATGGCTGCCTGTCAGTGCTATGGGAACCGCATCCGACTTCCATTCACGTAACGCCTCCACTTTATCAGGTGCGGTATATTTGCTCTTGTTTCCCTCTGGCGTTTCTGTCGGCGTCCCGATCGCTACAACCCTGCGGCTACGGTCTCTTCTCGTCTCATTGTCTTTTTGGGCGTTGTGGGACAGCAGGTATCCAATATGGACGTACTGAACAACCAGGGTAACCTATGGCTGGTCGGCCTTGCCATGCTCTCACTCGCTGGGTTCTTCCTGGTTACCGGGATATTGCAGGGTAGCGGTCTCTTAGGTTGCCTTCGCAACAACAGATTCTCTAAACATGGGTGGCAGCCATGGGCAGCAGCGACTGAGGAGAAGGAACTCTCTGGACCGTCTTCTGCACCTTATGTGAACGTCTTCCCACCACAACGTCGTCATGTCCTCGATTCGTCCAAGATTGCAATTTCATGCGAAAGTGTCGACAAGGAAGAAGTTGCAAACTACCCACTGCCTATGACCTCGAACTACCAGACATGCACGGACAAGAGCTATACTCCAACAGGATTTTCGGTGGCAGAGGTGAAGGCACTGGGTGATTTCCCTGACTATGCTGAACTCAGTGGTGTGCCCTTGCCGGAGCCGTACTATGAGTTCGACATTGACAAGGCGTTGCCACGACCTTATCGCCCGTTCCGGTGGTCCTACCATCAGACAATGTGTACGTCATTCCATTTTTATACTTGGTTTGCTCAAATAACACCAGCTAACCACTTGCAACGCGATAGCCCTTACGAAGTTAGAGACCGATTGGTGGATCGAACTCGAGAAAACCTACAAAGAGCGAGTCAAACAGCGCAAGGAGTTGTACGCCAAACATGGTAGCTCCGTGCTTGGTTATCTTCCTGGCTCTGAACTAGCTTGCAAGGAGCTCATGGAAATGGTATTGCAGTTTATCTGTGCCCGCTACCCGCAGTACTTTGCCGTCGAAAAAAACCAGATTCTGCACAATCGGATCCTAGGAACGACAGAGGATATCAAGTCCAAGCATCCCCTCGAGATTCTCATCAATAATGTGCCAGAGGATTTTGGGATCATGATGCGCGATGAGAAGACGGGATCCTACTTCCTCCGCGCAGGCGTCATCTGTTCGTCTTTGGGATGGAATGTTGGAACCAAGATTGGCCTTCAGCTACATCAGATCCACGAGGACATTCCGGACTACAAAGAGAAGATGCAATTTTCAATGGATCGGTAAGTTCATTCGGCCATAGATATGGACAAGAGGGATGATCTGATAGGAAATGCTTAGATTTTTTACCAAGATGCCTGCCGACAAGCCCATTCAGAGAGGATCTTGGGGACTCGAGGTCGGCCAGCCTTTGTACATGCCTAAAGGGGACCCTCACGAGACACTGCGCCTTTCCCAGGACCCGAACCTCCAGCTGGACAACTGTCACTTGCGTGTCGACTGGCAGACTCTCCGTCGTCTCCCTCTTTCCGCTGCCATTGTTTTCAACTTCAAGGCCCTTTTCACCCCGGTGTCAGAATTCCAAGACGAGCCAGGCGTGCCTGCATTGACGGTTAAGATCCTGAAGGAGGGTAAAAAGAACTTGATGGATTACAAAGGCACCTGGCACGTGGAGCACGTTGTAATCCCGAAGCTCGAACAGTGGGCCAAGGAGCAGGAAGAGAAGGGACTAGTCCCCAAGAATTGGCAGGTGTCAACCTTGGATGACAGTCCTTGGTACCAGGGTTGGCAGGAGAAATGGCATCGCCAGCAGGGATTCTAATCCTTACGTATGTAAACCAGATGGGTGGATGGGATTTGCATATATGGGAGGCTGTTTCATTCCTTCTATTGCCGACTATGCCATGCTTTGTGTTTTAATGGAGGCTATCTCAGCGCATTCCAAAATTGAGCAATCTACTCAATAGTATCCCACGAGGACCAAGTTTGACCAGGCGCGTACATCCGTAGCCGCAGCAGTAGCCTGTCGCTTCACGTATCGTTTCACCGAACGTAGGTGTCGCCGGAGCGGGTTTCCGCACGGCCGCACAGCAGCAGCTAAGTAGGCGCTGAACGGCGCAACCGGTGGACTACCACACGGATCTGATAGCCATCAGCCGAACACCGTCTAGCCGACAGCCCCAGGGATCCAGGCTTTTATGCAGCATCCCGTGAGCGTACTCGGGCCAATAGCCCAGAAAAGAGGTCAAAAAAAATATCAACAGACACCAAGCCGGACATCTCAATCATCACCCTGCCTCTCCCCCTCCTCACTCCCCTCATCATCACGACCACCATCCTCCTCATCCTCATCCTCCCGATCACTCCTCTCCATCTCCTCCAACTCATCCTGCAACGGACTAACCCTAACCTCCAACAAATCCAAATCCTCCAAAACCTGCCTAGCAGGCAACTTCCACAAACTCGTACCACAAACTCTCTCCTTGGTCAACAACTCATCCACAAACTGATCCATATACGTCAACGTAAACGAATCGCGCACCCGTCTCTTCAACTTCCGATAATCCAACAGCAACGGTTCCAACGTCTTGTACACCTCCACCGGCTCGAACGTCAATCGGACGTAGAACGCCGCGAGCGCGCGCAGGTATTTGAAGTCGCCGCGCGCTTTGACTACCCCGTTACCCTCCTCGTAGGATTCATCATTGTTGTCGTCGTTCGCAGGATCGCTGAAATTCAAATACTCAAGGATAATGTCCCGTTCTGGGTTGAGTTGGAGGAGCTTGAATGCGAGACAGAGGAATGGCGATGGCTTTTCGGATACGCCGTATACGCCCCCGATGCAGGTCAGTTCCACGGCCCGGTCGCAGAGTGTCGCGGCGTTGAGCCCGAAACATTGCTCTTTCCAGTAGTAGGAGTCTGTGATCCGGTCCCGAACGGCTTTTTCGAAGAGCGTCGCTGGGTTCACGCCGCGTACTAGGGGGCCGCTGTAGCCCCGGTTGTCGAGGAAGGTGCTGGCGTCGGCGCGGTGGGAGGTCATGGTTCTTTTCTCTTTTCTTTTCTCTTCTTTTATTTCGGTGTGTTGGGAGGGGTGAGAGGGGGTAGGGAGGATGTGAAGGTAAATGAATGAATGGATAGGTATGTAGGTAGACTGGGGTAAAGCTAGCTATCATCTATCGGTGGTGGAGATGGTGGATGGGATTGTTTTTCTGCCGGTTGGTTTGGTGGTACCGCCTTTGGGTGGGTGGGCGGTGTGGGTTGTATACTTATTCACTACGATAACATCACAGTGGAGATGCGATTGACAGAGAGGATCTACCTCAATTTATTGCATTTATATGCCAGAGGTATATCATAGTTATAGATAACTCAATTTTCAAACCAAGGCTCATTCAATATCTCCTCTACCGAAGCACGAGCACCTGGCTCAAAGCGTAGCAACTTCCGAATAATCCTCCCCAGCTCCACAATATCATCTCTCGTCAAGTCCTCTTTGCGCTCACCATCAAAGTACATCTCCTCCAACCACTCTTGCAATCCAGGGCCCCCGGCTTCAGTGGCATTCGCACCACGCATTGACTCCCATAAAGGTACCCATCTGTCAGGCAATGCTTCGCCCGCCATTTCTTGCATTTGCTCAACGAGAATCTTGGGAGTGATCAAGAAGCTGTCAAAGGGGGGTTGACCGACAAATAACTCGAATAACTGTTATACCAGTCAGTCACGACATAATAATTATTGGTGGGTAGGATTGTCCCATACCATACAGCCTAGACTCCACAAATCCACACGATAATCCAGACGATCTTTGAATATCACTTCAGGTGCCCGAACTACCAATGGAGTGTGGAGTGTCTTGGGTGCATCTTTCCGTGGGAACGATTCACCAAAGTCGACTAGCTTGATGGTATCTGATAAAGGCCATGATCGTGCGTGTAAACCCGCAGATCTAACAATATACTCCGGTATACCATGCCCCAGTCTTCCACTATCATTGTAGCGGACGTATCCGACATCTGGTTTTCCTAGTAGATTGATGAATTCATCTTCGGAGATATTGGCCACAGATGATATAGTGAAGGCCAGATTCCGGATATGAAAGTCTATACAATGTAAGCAAGAAGAGTTAAATATGAAGAGAAAGATTGACCTCCATGCGCAATCTCCCTACGATGCAATGCATCCAGACCCATCAAAGCCTGCCTCACAACACCCTTAGCAAAACTCCCAGGGAGTCTCCCATCTGCAAACCGCCTCTCCACCAAATCAGACACACTTGGACCTAACATCTCGAGAATCAAACAGGGATGTATCCCATTAGGTCCCTCTACATCGAAGTGATCGAGCATGCGCACGACGTGTTGAGTGTCGTCTAGACTCTTCAAGACATTCATCTCTCGATGTCCTCTATTACCATGATAGTTCTTCGATACGCAGATCTTAATAGCGACATATCTCCCTTCTCTGAACACAATTCTCTATTAGCGGGTTGTTCGATAGTAGGTAACTTTTAATGTCAGGATAATGGAACTGAGATATGTATGTACTGTTCATCTCTAGCAGCCCAGACAGTGGAGTATCCGCCCCATCCTAATTTATGTAGGATTTTGTATCTTCCTTGATGGAGGAGGCTTCCGAGTGTTATTGGGTGGTAGCCGCCGGTTGTGTAGCGGTGGAGGGGCTCCGCGTTAATGGGGGAGGAGTATTGGGGTTCATGGGGTAGTTCGGGTGTTTGGAGGAGGGTTGAGTAGGGGGTGGAGGTGTGTTTTGATAGTCTGGAGGGTGTTGATGATAACGAAGGAATTGTATGTATCCTTGTGAATGATGAGGATATTCTCACGCACATATTAAGTTATTTGTTCCTACATGTTAATCATCTAGAGGGTCATGATGGAATGCATAGTAAAGTGCCAAGAAGCAGCTTATCGATAGTCGCACGGCCAACGGGCCACAATCAACAGGCTGAGACATGGTGTGGCCTTGGCACCGCCAGGCGTGAATGTTTGTGATGATCATCTGCCTGTGTCAGACTAGAAACTCATGCTTCTATCAAATATCATGATCGCTGGAATTCTCATCCGGTTCGAATTGAAAATTACTCCTCGTATACTTGCTGTATAGGCCGGGCTCTACAAAGCAGTTACTAGTGCATATCAAAACAGTGCTGCCTACAATCCAGTCTCCACAGGCTACGTACGACGGGTATACACAGACACGTACGTACTAAGCGATTAATTTGGGGGGCGCGCAGACAGTCATGGTGCTTCTTACTTCGTCGACGGTCTCGGTCATTATATCCACAGCTGTCATTTGTACCTTTACTTTTCTGCTCTTCCTTTCGGGGTATGTCCTGCAACAGCAGTCTGTCCGAAGCATTCAGCATGCCATCCGACCGCCTCCTCCGCCACCACCCCCGGCGGCGATCCCGGTGGGAGCATACCAAGGGGCCGGGCAAGAGGTTTTCTCCGATAGTGTCGCCGATAAACAGCACAAGAGGGATGATGCTGGTTCCACACAAGCAACAACGGGCAACTTTGCATACCTCCAGCTGCTCTCCACCCCCGATCCGTCGGACATCTGCTCCGCCATTCTATTCTTTAAGCACTTAGCGACCAATGGTACTGCAGTTCAGGATAGGCTGTTCATGTATCCGCGTGAGTGGGACCTGATGCCCACTAAGGAGCTCACCGAACCGGTCGCCACGGCCCTTTCTTTGCTGAGAACGGCAAGCCTGGAGTATGGTATCTGGCTTCTGCCCATTGATATGACGCTAGCCACTTCTGAAGGCTACAAGCCTACCGATACAAAGCTGCTGCGGCTGGGACAGATCCAGTTTATGCAATATGACAGTGTCCTCTATGTGCAAACGCCTGGTTTGTTGCTCGACACTGCCAAGTTGGATGCTATGCTTCTCTCCCGACCGCTGCCATTGCGACATGACAAGAACAGAATCGAGTCGTTCAACAATGAAGCCTGGCTGCCTATGCCCTTGAGAGCAGAGAGAGACTCGGCTCTGCCTCCCGTATACCTGATTACGGTGAACAGCGTGGAAAACGGCCACATTGAAGCTCGTGGCCATGTTCCAAACACAGATATCCCGGGATTTAGTAATCTGGTCACGGGGCCTGATGGTGTAACGTCGCCCAACGAAGATGAGTCCAATCCTGATGAGCAACCAGGCTATGTGTACTTTGAGCAGGACGACGATGGTCATGTCAAATGGGCCCATAATCCGCTATTCGGATCTTGGCGGGTTGGGCAACATGAGGTCTGCGAAGGCCTCGACCTTGATGATGCAGTCCACGATGGATATGATTTGTGAATATTCTTTCTTCTTTGCTTTTGTAAATTGGCTGGTTTCTATGGCGTTTGTTGGCTTCATTTCAAGTGAATGTATTGATGGCTCAAAAGAAAGCGAGTCACTGGCATTCCAGGTTCCCATGGGAGTTGAGGTATATATATCGGGAACATTGGTGGTTTTCGTGTCCATATTTATGTGTGCCCCTGAGGCATGCGGCGATACTTTATGCAGTCATGTGTATATGAATCATGTATTATGCCAAAATACTATCGTATATCGAAATCAGGTTGTCTAGTATCAGCGACTGCATTCATGTCATTCACATTAGTCATTCATGCATTTTCCGTGGCAGAGGCGATGTCTGAGTCATCGCTTTCATCTCATGTTCGAGTTTAAGAAGAACTCCGGTTCTACTGCATACCCAAAGGGTGCAACTGACGCCTAAACACAACCATTAGTGCCCACATACTTTCAAGGTCACAGATGATATGGCAAACTTACTCTTCCGCAAGGAGCTGGCAGACCTTTAACCAGGCACCCCAATCTCATAGCCTAGCAAGACCTCCGTCGTATTACCTTCCCAGCCTCTGTTACCACTTGTTGAGACCATGAAGCGACACGCCTGGTCAATGTATAGCTGGGATACAGTTCCGGTACGATGTCCTGGGATAATCAAGAAGGGCACTGTGGAGTGACGAGTCACTTGTTCATGTTTGAGGTCGTACAATCGAAGAATGTCATGCGATGCGCTATGAAGTGACGGTCAGCCAGCCACGTCAATGAAATTAGAGCCTGAGTGACGACGAAGATACGTACCAAACGATATGTCTGCCGTTAGGCATGGCCTTGAGTGCCGTGACCGGTCCACTACCCTGAGGGAATTTGAAGGTCCGCTCAGCATTCCGAAGGCCCTTATGAAGGCTGTACTCCTCGACAGTTCCATTACGACGGCCTGCATAGATATAGTTGCCGTCTGGGGACCAGCATGCATTCATGCACCAAGGAGGGCAGTTTTGAGAAGTGATGCGAGCAACGGCATCCGGTTCTCTTCTATCCCACACTCGGATAGTGCCATCAATGGACGCAGCCAGGAAAAGATTATCCGTATTAGCACCTGTTTCTGCTGGCGCAGGAAGAGCACTCTCTTGAGTGTAGCTTGGTGGTTCCAGCTCTTCGGCATGTGGTAGTCCATTGACTATCGGCTGAGAGGAGCCATTAGGCATCTCCGCCTGGCCAGAACTAGGGGGTTGAGTGACGGCATTGTTATTGGCACTTGCAGCTTCAGCACCTGCCGGGGCCGGGGCCGAATCCGGAGCCGGAGCAGCAGGAGCCTCTGCAACGCCGTTCTGACTCGGTTCCGGTTCTCCAGGGGCGTCGGCATCTGGCAGCACTCCATTAGTAAGGGCTTTACCAAACTCATCATCCTCGTCAATGCCGAATGCATTTCCAGATGCGCCGGCCTCGTCTCCTCCGTTCCCGTTCTCGTCGCCGAATAGCGAGTCGGCACCGCCGAAGAGTGAATCAGCCGGAGAGCCCGCCTGCGGGTTTGAGCCAGTGCCGTTTTCACCGTCGTTCGACGTATCCATGAAGTTGAAGCTACCATTCTCAGGAGCCTGATAATTGGACGAGTATGTGCCATTTGTTTGTTGAATCTCGGTTGTGTCTCTGGGAACTGGCAGACTGGATTCTGGCCGTATCTCGACAGCGGAAATCTGCCCGGCGCTAGACCCGAATGCGCGTCGGGTCTGCCCTGTGTTAAGGTCCCAATCAAATACTCGCTTGTCCCAGCTGCCAGATAGTAGAGACTTTTCATCTGAAGTCAAGCTCAGTACAGAGACTGCGGAAGTATGCTGCTGCAGAAGAGCGATCTCTTTTCCTTCATCATGACGGACTGATTGCAGTCGGATGCTACCGGACTCCAAGCCAGACAACAACCATAGACCTTCACTATGGCTGGCCAGCGAGTATACTGGCGATATTGTGTTCCCGTCCATGTTTTCCCAGTACGTCATCAGTACACCCGCCTTGATGACACTGTCGACGAAAGGATGCCTTTGCGCCACAGTGAGCATCAGCTTGCTGTTGACAGAATCCACCCAATTGAACTTCCGAACGTATCCATCTGAGCCGCCGCTGAATACCCATCTCATATCAGCGGTCGCAGTTACCGCATTGATCGAAGTACTGTGAGGGGCGGCCGTAGTTGGGACTATGTCGAACGTAGGCGCTGTCAGGCACTTTTCCCGCACGCTCGGATGGAAAGCAGATCGTGGATCAGAATCCGAATTCGTAGCAGTTGTATTGGACATTTCGACATCCGCGTTTGGTTGCGTCGCTACCCCAGCGCTTTCGGATGCATGACTAGCATTGGACTGACTTTCCGCATCTTGGTCGGCGTCCGCGTCGGGATCAGGTTCGTTGTCATTGCCTCCATCATCTGCATCCCGAAGTGTATCCTCCATTTCATTGTCCGAACTTCCGTCTTGAGAGCCTGGGTGTGCGGAGAACTTATCAGTGTTGCCCAGATGAACCGAAGGAAGTCACAAAGCTTACCTGCAAGGTCGCGATCGTCGTCATCTTCGATCGAAGCCATTGTTCTGTAAGACGACTTGGCTTCTCGCCAATTTGGATAAGTGAGTGGATATTGCAGGGAATAGAGAGGCGTGTGTACCAACTCTCCTGTGACCGCGTGGTGGAGATCGGGGTCCTTTCGCAGGCAGGGCGCAACAATTTCAATGAATGCAAAGCAACCCCGCAGACTAAGGGTGCATATTTTGGCTTCGCACACGTTATCGTGCTGGATGTAATCGCGCACACGTGAGGATGCCTTCACCGAACAAGAGGTTCACAGAACAATGCAGAGCACGACATGAGCTATCACTGGGTTCTGGGGTAAGTTAATCCTTTGCTGCCCGCTTACGGCTTTCCCCGATTCGGTCACGTTTCGCGGTATTGTTTATGCCTCAGGCATTAATACCCTGTATCCGGTTAGCGCAGATTGGTGCATCTATCAAGGCTCCAGCATCACTGGTGAACTTGGGGAATGATTCTTCAGACACAAAGTGATGCAATTGCTGGTGGCATGTATCTCTTGCTTTGCTTCGCATAAGCGCTATGTGAGCACATGTCACAAATATCTTGAAAATTGGTGCGTTGGAAAGCGGGATCATCCTACTACAACTCCTAGTGGGGTATCGTTATGAAAGGTAGTAGTATCAATCAGAGTCCAGATGCCCATAGAAATCAGCTCTAATCCGGTTTGTGCGTAACTTATTTATAGTGACAGTAACAGCGGATTTCCAGAGCTTCCAAAAGTTTGCCTTATAACCGTATGCCCGAGATGACAGTTCACATACCATGCTTCTCCTTTCGCGCGCAGTAGAAGCCGAATGAATGGGCTGACGAAAGTAGAAAGGAGATAAAGTCTTCCCTACGAAATTCTGCTTGCTGGAGTTACTGTGGCCGGATTAACAAGATAGCCCAGCCTGCAAACAGAGAAGGACCTACACTTCCTCAACCTATAGCTAGATGGACTAATGTTACACCACGGCCACACGTAAACTTTACAATCACTAGACACACCTAAAAACCTAACTTTACTCCCAGCTTATGCTTAGATATAGCTAAATTGTGAAATTAAAGAAAGTGGCAGCCGAGCACAAGCAAAAGGTGATTGAAGCAGCGAGTGAAGTGCATCTGAAAGGTGGTATCAGCCAAGTGTTATTCAAGTGAATACTAAGTAAAGCGCAGATAAGTAGGCACCGTACGTACTGTATACACAGTGAAAACTATAGATACTGTAGGAATTGCAGTATAAATTACACAGTATGTTCCTTCCTACTTCTCACTTTCCCCTCCAGTTCCTCATCGCTTCAAGATCTCTCCACAAGTCCTTCTTTCCATACAAAGCAGCTCTCTAACACTTTACTATTCTGCTGGTTTCAATCTCTTTACCTTCTATATTAAGTTCTCCACTATAGCCATTTGCACAACCAAGACTTTGATATTTACTCGTTGAAACATTTCTGAACCCTTCAAACCCCATCAATATGGACTCAGGGGATTACTATCGGCCCGGGATTCCTCACTCAGATCCCCGGCTGCCAGAGCGAGATATGGACACCCATCTGCTGGTCAATAAAGACATCAGAGAGTACCTTGCCCAGCCATCTATTGAATTTGCTGAGGAATGGCTAAAGAAGCCGGACATTCCATCGTCAGATGAGATATTGGGCAACTTTGGTTCTGCAGAGAATGAGTATGTGGAATTGACTCCAAATAAAATCACGGGTCCTTGGAACTCGACCGATGAGTATCTCAAAGCACACTATGAGCTCCTTCGAGAAGATGCAATTGCTCCTCTCAGGGACGCCGTTGCATACGTCAGAGATGACCCCCAGATGACTGAGTCCAAGCTTGTGTCCATCTATGATAAGGTAAATGATATAACACGCGAATCTTCTTCGATTTACTGACAGTATGAAATTGCTCCAGGTTTACTTCACCGGTATCACATTCGCGCAAAGAGGTCTAGGAATTAGGATCCGGTTCTCCACTCGCCGAGCGGAGAAAATTATCGCGTGGGAATATTCTAAGCGTCTTGTCAGCGGCTCTATAGTTGCGCTTAGTCCAGCAGATGACGCATTTCAGCAGAAGTGCATCGTTGCCATTGTTGCTGCCAGGCCGCTTGAAGGCGTTCAAAAGCATCCTCCGGAGATTGATATCTTCCTTGCTAGGCCCGAAGATTTTGAATTCGACCCTCAGAAGGAATGGATCATGGTAGAAGCCAAGGATGGCTACTATGAGTCTGTGAGGCACACGATGGCAGCACTCCAGAAGTTGAAACAAGAAAAGTGAGTAGAGCTTATTGCAACGTTGCACAAAGTCCTTCGTTTCAATGATTAGATTCTGATTTATAACATAGATTTCCTCTTTCTGAGACATTTGCCTGCTTGATCCTAATGTCAGAGCCCCGGACTATGTGAAACAGGATCCTATCCTTGACATACAGTCCGTAGCCAGCGAGACTGCAGAAGCTGCCGAGGGACACAGAGTTGACATCCTAAAAAGTTGGCCTCGAGAACCAAGCCAGGCCATGGATACTACACAATGGCAAGCATTACACGAAATGCTTACGAAGAGGCTCTCGCTCATACAAGGCCCTCCTGGCACAGGGAAGACTTATGTGTCTGTTATTGCGCTGAGGATCCTACTTTCAAACCTGAAGCACGGGGACTCTCCTATAATCCTAGCCTCCCAGACAAACCATGCGTTGGACCAACTTCTGAGGCTCGTCGGCACCTTTGAAACAAGCTATATCCGGGTCGGTTCACGGAGCAACGACCCCGAGATAAAACGAAGGACTCTCTACTGTGTCAGGCAAAATGAAGCCGCGGTCACGGTACATGGAAGCGTGCTAGGAGCGGCCAGAAAGGAGCAGACAGTCCTGACCCAAACCATTGCCAAGATTTTGCAGCCTTTCAACGCCGAAAATACCAACGCGCCCCTTCCTGCTTCTCTGTTTATTGAGTATGGCCTCTTGACGGAGACGCAGCTCGACAACTTAAAGAAAGGTGCTGAAGGCTGGACTCGTCCCACTGATAGTGAAGATACCGACCCGCTGGTAGTCTGGCTAGGTGACAAATTGGTACTATTCGAAGTGGGGTATGAAAGAGAGAGTTTCGGATTCGAGGAGGATGAGGTAGACCTCGAGTACGAACAACTAAAGGAATTGGAGGCCGAGCAGGGCATTGAAGAGGATGATTACGAGATCCTCAAAGGACAGTTTATCAATCTTCAGGATGGCGTTTGTGGCTGCAAAATCTCGTGCTCTGAGACTTCTGCTATCGAAAACCTGAAGCAGAAGGATCTGTGGAAGGTGAGAGAAGAGGCTCGGGGGGCAATCTATGATGTCCTCCGAAAACAACTGAAGACCAAGATGACAGAGAGTCTTCGGCGACAGGTTTTACTCTATTCGAAGAATTGTGAGAATCTCCTCATTGGAAAATGGGAACGGGATTACCACGTTCTTCGGACGGCGAAAGTGATCGGGATGACAGCCACGGGTCTGAGTAAATACCGGGGGCTGATCTCCAGCCTCAGACCGAAGATCGTCTTGATCGAAGAAGCCGCCGAGGCTATTGAGGCGCCAATTGTTGCTGCGTGCTTTGACTCACTCCAGCACATGATACTCGTGGGTGACCACCAGCAGCTCCGAGGGCACTGCACTGTTCAGGAGCTCGGGGGCGAGCCCTACAATCTGGGAGTCTCCATGTTTGAGCGACTGGTCAAGAACGGAATGAAGTACGTCATGCTGAACAGGCAAAGAAGAATGGCACCAGAGATCCGTCAACTCTTGGAGCCTATATACGGCGAACTGAATGATCATGAGTCAGTACGCAAACGACCTGGAGTGAGAGGAATGGGGATCATTCGCTCCTACTTTTTCACTCATGCTTGGCCTGAGAGCAGAGATAGCCTTGCGTCCAAATACAACGACATGGAGGCCCAGATGATCGCAGAATTTGTTGTCTACCTGGTACAGAATGGCAACACCGTGAAAGATATAACCATTCTGACCTTCTACAATGGCCAGAGGAAAAAGCTCTTGACTGTTTTGAGACACCATCCGTACCTTCAAGGCCAGTACATGAAGGTGGTAACTGTTGACTCATACCAGGGAGAAGAAAACGAGATCGTAATCCTTTCACTCGTTCGGAGCGGCGAGAATGACATTGGTTTCCTGTCGATTGCAAATAGGGTCTGTGTTGCACTGTCGCGTGCAAGACGCGGGTTTTATATGTTCGGCAACGCGAATTCGTTGGCAAAACAGAATCAACTCTGGCGAGATGTACTGACATTGATGGCCAACAACAAACCACCACGGCGTCTGGGAACACAGCTGCCCGTCACATGTGTAAAACACAAGCGGACCACTTTTATACAAGGTTTGGGAAATCCTTCGTTGAGATCATGGTGCATTTTGAATGTTAAGCTGACACCTGACACCCAGGTCTTTCCGACTGGAATAAGATAAACGGCGGATGTGATTGCCATTGTGATGGAACGTTGGATTGCGGCCATCCCTGTCCCATCAAATGCCACAGGTAGGCGCAATAACTCTAGTCTAAAGGAGCGGGACGAAGCTAACATAGTCGCAACAACACAGCTTTTCTCATGAACAGGTAGAGTGCAATGACATCTGCAACAAACGGATGGCTTGCAAGCACGTCTGCACTCAACCCTGTGTAATAAGCCATACCTGCAACTGCACATGCGAGGTGGCTTCACAACTTGATAATCTACGTCTCCATCATGAGTCCCAGGGCTCCACCGCCCCGTTGGAGGGACCGAGTTCCTATCCCGAAGCGGTCAGACATTACCAGGCGTTTGCAAGTGGAGGTGCGAAGGAGCACGACGCGCTTTTGCTGAGGAAGGCTACCGAGACCGCCGCGGCAGCGCGGCCCACACCAGGAACAGAGGAGGATGAAGATCTTCTTCTCTCCGAGACGGAAGTGGCAAGCAGCCCTCAGGAACGCGACACCGCGGTTCCCTTGTCGGAAGAAAATCTCATGGAGATCTGACGGCCCACTGGAAGGAAATCCAAGGGCATGGGCTGGAAAAACTTAGAGTTTCCTGAGCCCCAGCACCAAAAATAAGTAGATAGGGCTGCTACGTGGTGTGTGATATTTTAGTTTTCTTAGTCAATCAAGGAAGTCGGCGATGATGTCAAGGCTTGCTCCTGTATTCTGATTGGCCCGGAGGCTCTGGCGATAGTTCCTTCTAGTAAAGACGATGTTTAGTCCCCAAGTAGTACTTTCCTACCACGCCCGTTTCCCCCCCGCATTCCCAGTTACTCAGTTGGATTCTTCCGCCTTCTCGACTCTTCCTGGCTCTTCGTGTCTCGAGCAATCACGATGTCTCGTGTAGGTTCTACCGATCGAGTCAGATAGAGATGATACTGGAATGCACACGCGACCAAGCGGGGTCGTTTGTGTAACAACCCTGCAAGCGAGACCATCGCTGCATTGTTGGTGTGGGCCAGCGGAAGTGCAAGATGTGGAAGTGATTCCTGAGGAAGCTCGGAAAACCCCTTGGGACTCTGGGAGAAGGATAAACTCGGAGACGGCCGGAACGTGGGGAGTGGACAGATGGGCGACCCGCTCAGGGAAAGACGGACTCGACTCGGTGACGCTGGAGTCGTTCGACGGTGGATTTACCGGCAGCAAGAAAAGGGAAGGAATCTTGGAAATGGAAAAGCCCCGGCGCGCTGGTGGCTGGTCCGACAACCCGCCAATCGCAAGCCGTGACGGGCCTTTCAGGCACTGCCCAGGCACCGCTGTGGTACTCCCAGTAATCAAAGTAGTTAATAGTTAATTTGAGTATCTCTTACTACTAGTACTCCGTACTCCTCTTCCTTCTCGTTTATTATTCACCACCACCACAATCCCTACAGCTGAACAGCGGGAACTTCCCTTAACACTAGTGGCCGTCCATGATGCAACTGGCTTGCCTTTGCTCAGCTGGCATGCTTCCTCCTACCTGATTTCTAAATAAGATAAACATATATCACCAGGGTCTTCAACTTTAGCTTTGCCACCTACAGTTGCTACTACGGACTTACTACTATTACTACATAGTACTAGTACTAAGTCAGTAGTGCTCAGTACAACTAACTACCACCCACCATCTACCATCTTTTATCTACCATCCTTGACCCATTTTCTGTTTCACACGATTCCCCCTTCAGTCAGACAACATGGCTGAGTTCTTGCGATCCCAGATTTTGGGGACTACATTCGAAACCACCAACAGGTAAGTGATCACTTCGCTGTTAAGGTCGATTCGTAGCTACTAATCTCCGGCTCAGATATTCCGACTTGCAGCCTGTTGGACTTGGTGCCTTCGGGCTTGTTTGGTACGAGCTCACTTTCTTTTACCATGTAGTCGCCATACCTGGATATACGGATCAAAATAGCTAACCACGTTGCGGCCACACTAGCTCGGCTTATGACATGATTACGCGCCAGCCTGTAGCTATCAAGAAGATGATGAAGCCGTTCTCCAACGCCACCCTCGCCAAACGGACCTACCGCGAAGTCAAGCTATTGAAACACCTGCGTCATGAAAATGTCTGTCTCCCTGCAGTTTATTCCTAATACCATGCGACTGCTGACCTTCAACAGCTCATTGGCCTAAGCGACATTTTCATCTCGCCACTAGAGGACGTGTATGTGGTTGCTAAAATGGATAAATTTCAGGGGATTGATTACAAAAGTACTGACGATAGGACGCAGTTATCTGGTGACGGACCTTTTGGGAACTGACCTCAACCGCCTCCTTACCTCGAAGCCTCTGGACGGCAAATTTGTTCAATATTTCACCTATCAGCTTTTGGTACGCTTGCAGAAACATTCCAGTCGACAGAAGCTTGCTAACGACCCCAGCGAGGCCTCAAATACATCCACTCCGCAGGCGTGATACACCGTGATCTCAAGCCGAGTAACATACTGATCAACGAGAACTGTGACTTGAAGATCTGTGATTTCGGTCTTGCGCGACTGCAGGAGCCTCAGATGACCGGATATGTCTCAACTAGATATTACAGGGCACCAGAAATTATGCTTACATGGCAAAAATACGGAATGCAAGTGGACATCTGGAGTGCTGGCTGCATTGTCGCAGAGATGCTTCGCGGAAAGCCATTGTTCCCAGGAAAGGATCATATCCACCAATTCTATCTGATTACGGATGCTCTGGGGAACCCGCCTGATGAGGTCATTGAGAGAATCTGTACAAAAGCCGTAAGAGCTGAGACAATTGTTGCTTTAGCTGGAAGTTGATTTATTATCTAGGCCCTTAATATTGTGAAGTCGCTGCCGAAGCGCCAGCCAGCCCCCTGGGCGACTTTGTTTCCAGACTCTGATGAAGACGGTACCTACCCCCCTTCACTATGTTACAAGTGCTTGAACGGTTTTTGTATGCTGACAGGATTTGTTCGCAGCTATTGACCTCCTTGCAAAGATGCTCATATTTGATCCCGACAAGCGGATCTCTGCTGCGAAAGCTTTGGAACATCCCTACTTGGGCGTATATCACGATCCCACTGATGAGCCGGTTGCTGAGCAAAAGTTCGATTGGTCTTTCAGTGAAGTAGCCCATTCAATCGATGAATGGAAAATCATGATGTGAGTCTCTTGCGATCCTTGGCCGGGTCCCGAACTGACCAGGATGCCAGATACACTGAAGTTGTAGACTTCCATGATCTTGGGCCTACCGGAGAACCAGCAATCACGGAGCCTTTCTTGCCTCCCGACCCGAGCCTCAGCCCCGAGGTCCTTGACCCGCTTGGCCAGATACAAACCCAAAGCATGGTCACCAAATCCGCGGACACTCTAGACCAGGATATTTTGCAGTACCTCCAGATTTAGACTGCGCCAGTTTAAAGCTCACAAAGGAAGCGGGAACCGCAAGCTCGGTGAACTAGTTCCGTTTGTCATCACGAGGGTTGCTGGCACTGACATCATGATGCGTCTATTTTGTAAACCCTTTCGTCAGATGAGGCTTTGAAGATCGGTCATTCGGCAATGGGGAAAGTTCTAATGCGTCCCTTGCCTAAAGCCTACCACAGGCACCACTAAACAGCGCAAGTTAGTGACCCAATCTTCTCCATTGGCCATAACCCTTTCCCTACCAACGTCTTTCTTTGATCCTCCCCGCCTTCGCACCGACTTCGAGACCCGAGTCTAGTCACTTACGCTGAAGGCCAGACATAACACTTTCATCCCACCCAACCATTAGTGCCCACAAAACAACACCACACTATCAGAGAATAACCCTTTATCGAAGCCGGACCAAACACAATGAAAATACTACTTCCCGCTTTGGCAACCTTATTCCATGTTCACGCCTTCCCCCACTCACAGAACCAAATTTTCGCGTCAAACACCACCTGGCAGATATCTCTATATCAAAACCGGCAATGCACCGGCGAAGAAACATCTTTCTCTGGAAACGGAACATTGTCCTGCCACGATTCAATCCTCAACGGCGGTTCCTTGGGCTACATAGCAGCGACAATGGGAAGTGGCTCGAATTGTTCCGTGCAGGTTTTCAACGATACAACATGCAGTCAGACCATTGATGTTGCGGGCTTAGGGACCTGTCAGACTCCGGTTCTGCAGGAGGACGTGCTGATTCGGGGGATCTCTATTTCCTGTTAGTTTTGACACATCTTGACTGGGTCAAGGCTTGAGGGTCTTTTTAATACTCAGATTCTTTCTCTGCCTTTTTTTTTCCTTCTATCGCATTTCATTATCTCCTTTCTTCTCATTTTGAATGCGATCTGTGTTAGCAAGCCACGGTTGTAACCTCCTGTTACTTTGACGAGTCCTATGATCAATGACAATCTACAAACGATTATACTAAATCTGTATGAACTACAAAAGCACCACCATACGTATGATGCATAGTTTCTTATTGCATATATTACATTTACTCTAGTAGATTTTTATCATCAAGTAGAACCACTATTATCCGCACACGAAAACACCCCATCAATCTGCCCATCCCTATACGCATCCATAATCTGCACAATAACACCATACGTCCCACCCACCGTCATAAACGCGCCCAGGAGTATCAACAACACATGCAACAAATACACCACCCGCTTCACCACCCCTCCAGACTTCCAATAGTCCCCATGACTATACAACCACAACCACCCCGGCAAACACAGCGCCAGCGGCGCAAACCCCAAGCTCCCCACTAGTGCCAACACATACGTGAAGATAGGAATCGCACACGCCAGGATAAATGCAATCGCAGCTAATCCTATCGTGCAGCTCAGCCACGTACCCCAGTGCACGACTGTGTTGGCTTGGAGGTGGCGCGAGTGGCGCAAGATGCGAACGAAGAGGTATTTTGCTGCTACGTGTACGTAAAGCGAGCCGCTGACGATCAGGCCTGGTAGGGCGATGCCGTAGGCGACGCGTTTGATGGTCGTGCCGGCGCTGCCGAGGGCTGGAGAGGCGATCCATTTCCCGCACCAGGCGTAGATTACTAGTGCGAAGGCGAGATAGGAGGATGTTACGAATGACATGCACAGGTAGACCGCTTTCGGGTAGTCTTTGGGTTTGCGCATTTCGGAGATCACGGGCAGGAAGGCGGATGTTGCGGCGCTGGAGACGAATATCGTGGCCGAGGCGGTTATTCCTGCTGCGAAAGTCGGGGAGCCGATTGCGCGGTAGCCTAGGTCGTAGGGACCTGTTTGGGGGGCTATGGCTGGGCGGGAGCGGGTTGTTACCCCGATGCTTGGGGGCTGTTAGGCTTGTGGTGGTGGTGGTGTTGGGGAAGGGGATAGGGACGTACACGACGATGAGAACTGCGGCTAGGATGCTAACGAAGCCCACCCAGGTGAGCCACCCGATGTGGGAGAATTTGCGCACGCTAGCAAAGCCCGCGATGATGATGGTGGAGATGAATGAGAACCACACCGTGCAGAGGGAATGAAGGGAGAGGGCGTTGAATGCGGCAGAGACGCCAATAATCCCTGATGCGGCGGTAATCACGTATGTCACGATGAACATGAAGCCGACCACCTCGCGGAGCATGGGGCCTCCTATGAGCTGGGCCATATCGGCCACGGAGTGACATTGTGGGTATAGAGTGCGAAAGTTGCCTAGGATTATGGCTCCGTAGGCATTGAGAACACACCATCCTACCAGATTGACGGCACCGGGGAAGGCCCCCAAATCATACATTACTGATGGGATGGAGAGGATGCCGGTTGCGAACAGCACTGGAGATGTCCGATGAGAAAAATGCAAGTTGTAGGGGACTAGTTGGGGACATACTCTTCAGGAAGATGGCTGATGCACGGATCCAGCTGACGGTGCGGAAATTGACCTTGCCATCTGCTTGCTTGAAGACTTCATGGCTATCATCGCCTGTTATGATGTCCGAGGAACTGGCGACTCTGATGTCGTCGCTGGCACTCGGGGCTGGAGCGACCTTGAGGTCCTTGGCCTCATTGATGTACGCCATGGTGGGTGTCCAGGTGAATGGAACGAGGAGTAACCAGAGTAACCTCTAAAGTCGGGACCCCTTACATTTTTATTGCTAGGCATTTAATGCACAGGGATCAGACAGCGGAACATTATCACCAGTAATATAATCGCTACTGATAGTATGACGGGCCGATGAGGTCGAGCTCAGTTGCTGGCCGATAAGGATTCCTACGGAGAATTATCTCCGTTGGAGTGCTACGTTGGAGTCTATCAGTTGGAGTAGACGGCATCGTGCATTATCGATGGCTGCGATACGAGGGGTATTTGGGGTAGGTAAACGATGCGATAAGGCTAGTGATTCAAATAATTTCGTCAGTTATCGAACGTGTAGTCTAAGTACGAACTAGACATGTCTGATGGGTTTTGGTGGGTTTGGCGGGTTGAAAATGGGGTGAAGAAACCCAATGAGATCCCTTAATCAGATAAGCTGGACCCTTAGCCTTTCAGGCCCTCAGGCCGCCCCGGACGGCTGCCTGGGAGGGGGATGTTGGAGTCACGGCAGTCGTTCCTGCCAAATACAGTAATCGACTCCAACTGCTGGCGATAAGGCTTGGCACATGGCACATGCCAGGCCTTTTCTTCTTCGCTGTGGTCGATTTCGATACTCTTCTCTTTGTAGAATTGAACTTTGTGTCCAAATCTACTCACACATTATGTCGGTATTGTTCACTTCTATTTCGCCGTATGTACTGAGTCCTCTATCTATTCTATCCCCGCTCTCTCTCTCCAGGAATTTGAACCTTACAGATCATCCACAGGGACAATCCGGTCAAGAGGGAGGATGCCGCCTCCCTTCTCCGCAATCTGGACCTCTCCATTGACCAAGAAGATGAGGAAGACTTTCATACCCTCTTGGCAGCCGTCCACGACTGCGCCGAAACCGTGGCGAACCTGCCAGACTATCAGCCAGCCCCCGATCTAGATAGATACCCTCGACAGAATGTTCACCGTCCATCCCCAGAGGAACAAGTATTCGGGCAGGCCTGGGCTCACAAGTTTCTGATCAAGGGCAATGCGGAGGGAGGACCTTTAGTGGGAAAGACCTTTAGCGTGAAGGATTGCATTGCCGTTGCAGGTGTACCACAGTTGCTTGGAAGTGATATCATTCCCTCTTGGACGCCAATTACGGATGCGACGGTTGTGACCCGAGTTCTCGATGCTGGCGCTGACATTCATGGTACTTCGACTTGCGAGAACTACTGCCATTCCACGGCGTCTTTCACGAGTGCTCAAGGAATCGTGGAGAACCCTTTCGCAACCGGATACTCGGCTGGCGGAAGTACCTCAGGAGGGGCTGCTTTGGTTGCAGCTGGGTTGGTTGACATTACGCTGGGCGGAGATCAGGGTGGGAGTATTCGGGTTCCCTCCGCATTTTGTGGCTGTAGGTGGCCTTGATGATTGTCTTCCAGAATCATAGCTAATCGTGTCCACTCAGGTGTCGGCTTGAAGCCTACGTATGGGCTGGTGCCTTTTACGGGTATTGCTAGCGGGGATGCTATTGATGACCACACGGGCCCGCTTGCTCGGAATGTTATCGACGTTGCCTCTTGCTTAGACGCTATTGCCGGCTATGATGGCATAGATGATCGATGCCTGGGGAGTCCTAAACACGGCTCTACCTCGTTCGCCAAGGCGCTTCAGGCTGAGGCTACAAGGCTCGATGGTTTCAAGATAGGAGTCTTAAAGGAAGGATTTGAGCACAGCACTGTGGACCCCGCGGTCAAAGAGTCGGTCGTGGCGGCCATTCAGAAATTCACGGAGCTTGGCGCAACAGTCGAGGAAGTATCCCTTCCAGATCATTACCATGGGCCTGCTATCTGGACCATTCAGCAGCGTGTTTCAGGCTCTTTGACGCTGCTTGGACAGGCACATGGCAGAAGGGGGCTCTACATGACGGAGATGGAGCGTGAGAGACTCCCTTGGACGAAGGAAGGCTTCCAAAGAGCCTTTCCGGCCACTAAGAACGTTATAATCAATGGCCTCTATCTTACCTCACGCTTTCCGGACTTGTACGGCAAATCGGTTAATATTGGTCGAAGGCTTCGGGACCTCTACGAGGATCTTCTCCAGAAGTATGACGTGGTTGTAATGCCGACCACTCCTGTTGTTGCACCAAGACATGGTGCAAGAGGCCTGCCGGTCGAGTCTCTGAAGCCTAGCATGGGCTTGACAATTAACACGGCAATCTTCGATGTTACGGGGCACCCAGCGATGTCTATACCAGTGGGGTATGCTCCGGCCAAGGATGATCCTCAGGTCAAGCTCCCCGTCGGTATGCAGATCGTCGGAGGGTTGTGGCAGGAACACAAAGTACTCAAGGCGGGATATGCATGGGAGAAAAACAACGATTGGAAAATGGTGGCGAGTAATTGATAAACACAGTACACTAGAGAGAGAAATTTATAGAAGTTGGTCTAGGTGACGAACCTTCATTGCGACTGCTTTATATTGTATGTCCGTCATATACCCATATATGACTCATTACCTAGCAAGCAGTCGGGAAACTTTGCGATCTCCTCTCGCGCGCCGAATGCTAATGACACCTGATATGTTGTCCATTTCATTTAATTCTTTATTATTGACATTATCATGAGTGAGGAAGCTCCTCTTATTCAGTTGATTATATATCCTCCGTCGACAACAAGCGCATGCCCTTGCACAAAAGAGGCAAGAGTCGAACACAAGAAGAGTATGGAATCAGCCACCTCTTCCGGCTTCCCCATTCTCTTCATCGGGGCAATTTCAACTGCTGGCTGAAAGTGCTCGCGAATTTCCTCGCTGTACGTTGTCATCGGGGTCTCAATTACACCCGGGCAAACACAATTAACACGGATGCCGTCCGCAGAATAGTCGATCGCATCGGAGCGGGTCATCGCAATGACAGCAGCCTTGGAGCTACAATACGCAGCTAGAAGCAAATCCGACGCAGTTAGCTCACACCAGAGAGCGTTGACTGAAGAATTGGGCAATAGGAGAAGATCAGACTTACGAGCACTAGGGCGTCCCACTATGCCCAGCTGACTTGCAACGTTCACAATAGCCCCTCGCTGAGGAGCGCGATTCGGATCATGGCTCGGTAAGGGATCTTGTGCCACCATTTGTCTCAACTCTGCTCTAGAACAGAACCAAGCTCCCCGATAATTGATGTTGTTGATATGGTCAAATACCGCCGTTGATGTCTCGGTCGTTCGCATGGCGTCTCCTAGGATTCCGGCGCAATTGACTGCATAATTCAGCCGTTCAAATGCAGCCACTACTTCACTGATAAAAGACTCGACAAAGCTCTCGTCGGATATGTCGCCCGCCTTGACTAGAAGACGCGTCTGAGGGTAGGAAGCGAGGATAGCCTCCCGGGTCTGATCTAAAGAGGCAGAATTGAGATCCGTGATTGCGATTCTTTCACATCCTGCCGAAGCAAACGCTTTTGCTGTGGCTGCACCGATGCCTGCGAAGCCGTTATTTTTTTGCTTTTGCTTTCCCCGCGATAGACTTTTGGAAAGGTATACCTGTACCACCGGCTCCTGTGACAACGGCAACTCCCGGAAAGGTCCAAGTTTGCGTCATATCCGCGGGCAAACTATTATCGTGAACAAGAGAATTGAAACTCCACGTTGAGGACAGGGCAGCTCAGAAGATTATTGTTCTCATGATGATGTTGTCAATATATACTACATCCTTTCTCAGCAAGCAACAGCTGACCGACCGGGTTGGAGAAAGACAGCTTATCGGGCAAGTGGGGTCAACTCTCCCAAAGTGGCGTTGGGGGCAGCCGATTCGGCACCGTCGGTTGGAGTCACTCACTCATTTCCTTTTCTTTCCTCACCATCCTCCACAGCTAGTCTCCTCTCCCCTAGTACCTGGTGTCTCCAATTGGAGAGGTCGCGACTTCTTGTCTGTATACTCCGGTCATTCCTTCGCCTCCAAATGACTTGATGCTGTCCCAGTCTCCTTCACAACCTTCTCGGGGCTCTCGTCGCTCGAGTGCTGGAGCCAAAACTCGGGTCTGTGTCCATTGCGGGCGCAGTTTCAGAAGGACGGAACATTTGGAGCGACATGTTCGCACACGTAAGTCGCATCATCTTTGAGCAATTCCTGCTAGTCTAGTGGTGTTTGAATTCTTGCATTGTCTAGAATGATTCCGCATGCTAAGTTAAGGCCCTGTGCACTTTCAGACACCAAAGAAAAACCGTATATATGCTTCTGTGGCTCCGCATTCACCCGACGAGATCTGTTGAAGCGACACACAACCATTGCACATCAAAGTACCAGTGGTCTGGTTTCGCCGAATTCGCAACCGGATCACGAAGCTTTGGACCATGCCAATAGAGCCGGGACTTCAGAGCCTACCACTATCCCACCCAACTATAACAATGTTCAACCAGCACCGCGTCCAGATGTTCCTATCCCCATGCCGCCGATTGCAGAACAGTGGGCAGGACAGCAACGTGGGCCATACATTGAGCAGGATCGCAATGCTGTTCTAAATACGGGGGCTAGCAGTGCAGGTGAACTTGGTGCGCATGCCGGCGCAGTCGGCCACGATGCGGAGATTTTGGAAGCTGCGCAGCTTCTTCTTCCGGGCAATTACCGACATGCACCACCTCCAGGTAATGAGCTTCTCATCCCTCTAGCAAGCGCGCACGGCTAACATGCTATCAGCCCAACCGATCCCATACCTACATGAGGAGCTGAATCACTTTCAGGATTTCACGCATTTTCTGGACTCGATAGGTCTCCCGTCAGAGTGGGTGCCAGCATTTGGGGACATGTCTCAGATTCAAAACCCCGTATCTACTGAACAACCCGAGTTTAGCAGAAGTTCTGGGGAACAACACGAATCCTCATCGCGCCCGCGCCAGTCTGAGAGGTCACGGGCCGACTCGCCTTTCCGGTCGTGGTTGCCGTCCGTACCTCCAGGAGACCAAAGCTTCGCATCTGTATCTGACTACGGTATGAGCATTTGAAGACCTTAAAGGGAAATCACAACCGGACCCTTGTACTAACTAGTATATAGAGCCTCCTCAAATTAGCAAGAGCCCAATATCGCTCAAAGTTACAGAAGAGCAGCGGCAGCGTCTGGCGGCCTCCTTGGATGAGTTCCGTTATCTCATACCAGATTTTGTCTTACCGTCGCGTCATACGTTGACAAGATACCTGACTTCCTTCTTTTCTGGCTTCCATACACATCTTCCTTTTCTCCATGTACCGACATTCCGGGTCAACGACCGAGCTCCAGAGCTCATTCTAGCTCTCATGACAATAGGCGCTCAATACCGCTTCGAGCACCGTAATGCTGAGAGACTCTTTTATGCAGCCAAGGCAATAGTATTATACCGACTGTCGAAGGAGTCAAGTTTACCACCCTTTAATTCAATCCTTCAGATACCACTGAACAGTATCCGGGACTCACCTCAGCGCTCGGGCCAGGATCCGTTACTCTCGTCGCCAGAGTTTGCCGCAGGAATGAACGCTTGGAGGAGAATCGAGACTATTCGCACCCTGTTAGCTTTGATGGGGTACTCTACCTGGGAGAAGGCCGAGCTTGTTCAAGAAGCGTTTGGCCTACAGAATCTGCTCGTTCGGTGCTTGCGAGAACTCGGGCTCATGGAGAACATTACAGTTGCCCCACGGCATTCTCCTTTGCAGTGGCATGAATGGGCCGAAGAGGAATCTATAAGACGCACTCGATTCATATCATTTTGCTTCGTTCACGTTCATAGTATTGCATACAACATTTACCCAGTGCTCCGCAGTAGCGAAGTGCATCTGCGTCTCCCGTGTTCCACGCCGGAATGGAAAGCCGCCACAGCCCACGACTGGGAGGCCGCTCAAAAGGAGGTGGACTCTCAGCAACTATTCTTTCAGGATGCCTTGGCACTATTGCTGCAACCTTCACGAAATCCAGTACTTCTAGATCCGATCCCTGCGCCTTTGGGTAATTATATTCTGCTTCATGGCCTACTTCAACGCATTCATCTTGTGAGCGAGCTATCTATTCCAAATGGGGATCAGTCATTCTCACTTCCGACCGAGGAGTTGAATAAGTTAGAGTGAGTTCTTCTGTCTAGCAAATCCGCATTTGGACTACCCTCCTGACCTTCACATGACTAACGGTTGACGCGTCTGATTAGGAGAGCACTCCGGTCCTGGACTTCAGTTTGGCAACAAGCCCCCGAATCAAGTCTTGACCCGCATAATGAGAATGGGCCGATTCCGTTCACTTCCAGTTCACTCTTGGGTTTGGCATATGTCCGCTTGTCTCTCAACCTTGGACCGCATCGTCAGTTGGAGACACGGGATCCATATCGCATTGCCACCGCGATACACAGGTCGCCGCGACCAGGAAGGAGCTATAGGTTGACACCTGCCCTCATTTATTCTGCACACGCACTGAGCATTCCCGTACGCCTGGGTATTGACCACGTGGCACGCAGTCAAGCCTTCTTTTGGAGTGTTCGTCACTCACTTGCTAGTTTAGAGTGCGCTGTTCTTCTCAGCAAATGGCTTATGTCCCTGGCTGAAACTGGCAGCAGCCAAGCCTTGAGCGGTATGAATCCCCCTAAAAGAAAAAGACTCCAACAACGATCGAGGGCTTGCTAACATGAATATGGACTTTAGAGAACGAGAATCGGATATTACATTGGACGCGTTGCATTGTACAAGAAGCTTACGAATCAATGGATCTTGAAGACGGGGAATCGTTCCCTAGCCAGGATCCCGGAAGTCTTGGGTTGGCTGTCATCAAGCTTTGGGCTCGACTCTTTCGGAAAAATACCCAGTGGCCATTCATCAACGTACTTGGGGAGAGCCTAGAGCGGTATCTCGCATTTATTCAACCCGGTTAGACAAGAACACGTTCTCGGTTCAAACCCAACATTCTCTCCAATCACCATACAGCGGCTTAACATCCTCTTACCTACATAAAAGCGGGTGCTTTTCCACGGGTAGGTGGCCGCAAAACTCTGGTGTGAAGTTGCACCATGTGGTACCTCAAGGTCTGTCCTATATCTTCGCGACCAGCATCAAAGCGAAGGCACGATTCTATCTGGACCGAGGTAGGTGCTGAGTATAGCACTTCCAATGCTAAGTAAGCTTATGTGTCGTGCTCATTCCACGTCATCAGGATCAGCACTAGCATCTCTCCTCTCTCGCGGCATTGCTTTGCTTGAGAGACGGGGCTTCGAATCTCAACGCTTGCAGGTGTACCGACTATTCGAATTTACGAACTCTTTAATGAACATGAACTCATGAGACTTAAGTGTTACGATTAGAATTGTATATTAACCATTTATACAAGTGCAACATAGTGGCAATATACTATTCAGGCGATCATACATTACACGTCAAGTTCATAGATTGTCAAATTACATTATTTCAGGATTGGGCATTAAGGCATTATTAATAGACGCCATCTCCAAGTTATTACCTCTCCTCCTCAATGTTGTACCGAATATCTTTGTGCAGTGATTGTTCTGAGATACCACACAAGCTTGGGATTCATTGATGGCGCCAAGCGCCACTATTGAATGCAGTACCGAATCTAGAAGAACCTCCTCGCAAAGCTGGGCGAAGGAGTGGCGGATGCAGACAGCGAGGCCGAGCTTGAAGCAGCTGCGCTTGCGGAGACGTTCGCACCGAGTGTGGCAGTAAGAGGTCCGATGAACAAGGTCTGGCCGCACGGAACTGGAGGAGCAGTGACGCAGCCTTGGAAGTATGAGCCAAGCTGGCCGGGACCAGTACCGTTGGAAAGAACGTATCCCGGGCTGTATGCAGGCACCAGCGAAGAGCTGTTCGTCGGGAAGAGAACGGTCTGGTTCTGGCTCGCGATATAGTAAGCGTGAGCAGTGTGCTCAGCGGCCAAACGAGCCCACAAGAACGAAGCCTCGGGGGCCTGGGTATAACCAGCCAGGGCAATGTACGCTCCAGCAACTGTTGACTCCAACTGGAGCGCGTTCTGCACGAAGGAGTCGGCGTCACTGGCACTTGGGAAGGTGAAACTGCAATTCTGAGGGATCCAGCCAGACAGCTTCGAGCCAAGTTGTTGCACAGCACGCACACCCAGACGGTTCTGTCTCTGAATACCCTGGAAGTTGGTGAAGTACTGCGAGTTGGAGCCATTCTGGGAGCTGCTCAAGAAGGTCTGATTGACCGGGACCGACGAATAGAAGCGGTCGAGGAAGTAAGAGAGCGCGTAGCCATAGTCAACGGCTTGGGATTCGTTTGACTGAAGAGAGCAGCTCTGAGCCGCAGCGGCTCCTGCCAGGAGCAGGCCGTTCAAGGCAGAGAAAATGCGCATCGTGCCGGGTAAATTGGCTTCGATTGGATGTTCTGAGTGATGCTTCCTTGTCTTCTGGATCCGATATATTGCAGAGAGTTATGTGCAGTATATCCAACACAATAGGCAGGCGCGAACAATTTTCCTGAATGATTAAATCGCGAAACTTTCAGCCGGCGAGAACCAGCACGAGCTACTCTTATAGCTTCCGTCAACACTCCATGCTTACAAAAACTACTGAATGCAACGATATGATGAAATGCAAATCCAGCCCTGTCGAAACGCGCGGCCCTGTCAAAATCTCAACAGAAGCGGAGCCTCGACTTGCATCACTTGCATCATGACATGGCCGGCCAAAGCCTATTGACAAACCTTGTCTCACATACAACAAGGGAGAAAAGGAAAGAGAGAAAGAGTTTCGCCTCCAAACAATGCACCGCCTAGACTACCTCTCATTCAATAGGTCGGTTTCTTCCGGGGAATTGCGGAAATACCATCCCATTTAACTTCGAACCCGGTGTTCGGTCGACCCATGGTCTCTTGTGCGTTTAATCTTCAACTTATCTTGCTGTGGTGATATCATGGAAGTCTTGTGTCTTCCACTTAATAGCGAATGATATCATCCAGAAGAAAGAACATGATGTATGCCTGTAATTTCCCTTTTCCGTTCATCAAGGACGGTTCGGCCGGAGAAGAGCGGTAACCTAACCTACAAACCCCCCTCAGCTCGCATTTATTACAAGCCACCTCTCTCCCCGGTGCCAGTAAGTAAAATGAGGTCCTCCATTTCATCACACGATCAAAGTCACATAGAATGCCAAGATTATGAATTAATCTCTATATGAGATAACCTATTTATCTACTCCGTAGCCGTAAGTACATACTAGCGATGGGGGGAATCAATGATGTCTGGAGTCATCCACTCACTCCCGGATCGGATCTCGGCGGCAAAGAAGATAAACTTAATCCGAGCTAGTCCTTTCCCGGTTAGGTCGCATGCATGCCAAGCACACCTTGTTTTGCTCGGAGCTCGGAATTCAAAGGGTCCAGTGACTTACTTTTGTAATTGCAGGCAGGGTCCATGAATCAGTATCCATGATGCCCGGTTGTGCAGTGAAGTGGCGATATTTTGTGCGTGCTTATCAGTGGATGAAGGGGTCTCTATGCAAATTACAATTACACTTTTCGGGGAGGAGGATTTCCCTTCGTAAGACTTGATTTCTTCACTGTTGCCTAACTCTTGTGTCCATGGATCACGTCGTGGCTGTGGTATATGTATGTGGTCGCTTATGATCATAGAGGGGTAGCGGGTTATATGAACATAATATATTCTCTATATAGTCACAGTCAAGCAAATTTTGGGACACGGAAACAAGGCGAAATAAGACTAGTAAAGCCTGCAATTCTCTTTTTTTCTCCTCAGGCATGATAACGAATGTATAAGAAAAAAGAAAAATGGAAGAATATAATATGAATAGCAATGGTAGAAATACCCCATGCGCCAGCTTTCACACAGTTGATAATAAACAGGATTGATAGATAAATATGTGTAACAAGGGCCTTTTCAATATGTGCGAACTTTTATTTGGTCCCTAGTAATAGTAGAATGAATAAAGCAGGAAGGAGGCGATCTATGAGTCATTACCACTATTTTTATGATCCCAGGCTTTCTTGGCTCCTTCCAGAAGACTATCCATGTTTCCACTGTTTTCGCACATGCTCCGGAAGAGGCCGTCGCCCTTGTTTATTAATGTCCAGGGGTGGTCGTACTCGATGACTCGGCCGTGGTCGAGGACCAAGACCTTGTCGTAGTCGATGATTGTCTGTAGACGGTGCGCAATGGTGATGATGGTGCTTTCCCGGAGTTCCCGGAGGGTTTCCTGGATCTTGGAGTCGGTGTTGTAGTCTATAGAGGCGGTGGCTTCGTCCATCATCAGGACCTTCGGGTTCTTGAGTAGCGCACGTGCAAGACACAAGAGTTGTCGCTGGCCTTGGGACAGGTTGGACCCGGATTCGGAGACAGCAGTGTCCAGGTTGAGGAAGATGTTCTTGTTGTCCAGGATGCCGCTACTAGTGACGCCGGTGGGGGTTGCGGAACTGGGCTCTGCGAGCGTACTTGTCGTCATTGGGGTCGCGGTGCCAGAGGTACCCGGGCCGATAAGGTGCACACGTCGCAGGGCAGTAAAAATCTGCTCGTCCGTGAAGAGATCGAACGGGTCAAGATTGCTGCGGATAGTTCCTGTGAACAGAGTAGGATCTTGAGGAACGATGGTGATCGACTCTCGCAAGTCACGGAGACCGATTGCGCTGGTGTCCACGCCGTCAATGACGATGCGGCCCTTCTCAGCTTCGAGACCACGGAAAAGTGCCAGGGCAAGCGAACTCTTGCCAGCACCGGTGCGGCCGACAATACCGACCTTCTCTCCAGGTTGCACGCTGAACGAGACATTCCTGAGAACGGGGTCAAGGTCCGGTCGATACCGCGTTGTATATCCAACGAAGTCGACCGCGCCGCCGCTGGGCCAGTTGGCCGGCGGTCTAGAGTCAGGAATGACTGCATCTGCCTCTTGCTCGACTTCGAGGTACTCCCTGACTCGTTCGACAGAATTCATGTTCTGTTGAACCTCCGAGTACAACCGGACTAGCCAGAGAACGTTCTCGGTGAAAGTGACTGCGTATGTCAGCGAAAGTCCAGCAGCACCGGCATCAATCTTTCCAATGTTGATCAGGACAAAGACAGCGGTGAAGAATGACACCAAGGCTCCTGTTACATCAACACGGAGCGCCAGCCAGCGATTACTCGCCCACAGATAAATGTGGGGACGGTTGTAAGCGTTGATACGACGGTGGTTGTCAACGATGAATCTCGGTCCATCGCCATAGGCACGGATGGTAACAATGCCGTTCAAGGTCTCGCCAAATTGCTGGTACAGAGGACTCCGCTGCACGGACTCAAGTCGTTTGAGATCGCGAGAAGCATTCAGGTAGACGGCACCGAGGGCGACATAAACCAAGGTGATAAAGATACCCGCGATCAGGAAACCGGGCGTGATGACTGAAATCAGAATGACAATCATCACAACGGATGCCAGACTATGGAGCATGCCTATAGCTACAGGTGCGACTTCCTGATCAACGGATTCCACATCCTTAGAAAAGCGATTCATCAGCTGGCCCAGAGGGGTCGAATCGAAGAACTTGAACTTTGCATGCATGACCGATCTCAGCAGCCGTTGGTGGATCTTGAAAGAAGCGTGCAGAGAACCCCAGAATAGGACACCCTCCCTTACTAGCGAAATAGCAACGAAAGCAACTCCCAGTAATGCGTAGACACCGAGATAATACGATACGTTGACATTGCCGTTGCCATTGGCGTTCACTCTCTGCGTACCAAACTGGGGTGCGCTGAAAGTGGATGTGCGAGGAACACCACCAACGTTGAACGACGGGATCTTGAAGGCTGCCATCGCCGCGTAGTCACCGGGATCCGCACCGACTTCCTCAGTCTGGTAAGAATTGGCCCATTGTCTGATCCAAATATTAGTCGATACAGACCCGAGTTGTTGCAAGCAGAAAACAAGCACGGCCACGATCCAGTAGCGCCAGGATCCCATCGATTGGAGATACATCTTAACCGTAGACAGCTTAATACTGCCGACAGCCTTAGACTCTACCAGCTTAGTGTCGGAACTCTCCTTAGCCTTTCCGTTAAGGGAATTGGTAGCATTTCCGTTCGTAAGAGATTCATCATCTTGCTCTGCATGGTCCGAAGGTCTGCGAGAAGGACGAGGAGTAGTAGTCCTGGAAGTTGGTCGGGATTTGAGTAGTTCATCACCCAGCGCACCAGATGCCGCCACTTCGTCTGGAGGACCCTGCGCGATGATTTTACCATTATCGAGAGCAATGACATGGGCTGCTTCGAACACGGTTAAAGCAACATTGTGTGTTACCAGAACACAAGTCCGGTTCATCATCAAGGGACCGGTCAAGGCCTGTCGGAAGATGTGCTTAGCGGTGTGCGAGTCCACTGCACTCAGACAATCATCCAGAAGCAAGTGACGAGCTCTGCTGTACACAGCGCGCGCAAGCGATATTCTCTGTTTCTGGCCTCCCGAAAGACTGATGCCCTTTTCTCCCACAAGGGTCTGGTCGCCTGCATCGAGAATTGACAGGTCCCGCTCCAAGGCACAGGCCTTGATTACTGCATTATACCGACGTTGATCAAAGGGGGAAGCAAACACAATATTATCCTTGACAGTAGCATTCACGAGCCACGCTTCCTGTGCGCAGTAGGCAACGCTTTCGATGAGACCTGTCTGAGGATCAACTGGGAGTTCCGAGCGGTTAGCCGTGCCTCCAGGCAAGTGAACCTTTCCTTGCAGAAGCTTCATTTCGCCGAGAAGCGCCATAAGTAGCGACGTCTTTCCAGAGCCAGTCGGGCCAGTAATCAGGTTGAGTTTGCCAATCTGGAAGTCCACGTCCATATTGATCAGACGGAAACCTTCGGCAACCTCGTCCGACGGATCATCCTTGTATTGACCCTGGGCAGATCCCCAGGTAAGGGTAGCATTTTCCAACGCGATCTTGGGCGGCTGTCCATCAGACTCCTCCTCCTCGAGTTGACGGTACTTCTGGGTCTCCTCTTCATTCAAATAAGTGTCGACACGATCAAGGGAGACCTTGGACTCTTGGACGTGAGCCACCATGTCGGCCAACTGGTCTAGAGGGACGCGAAGCAAAGAGAACATCGACAGGGCCGGGAATGCGATCGACGGGGTCAACTTCTTTCCCTCCACCACTGTATACAAAAAGAATGAGGCGAACGTGATAAGGATGGGCGTGCCATACCAGACAGTTGCCGCCGTAGACCAGATGATGTACCGAAAACGCAAAGCCTTCAACTCCGCCCTTCGCTTCTCGTTGACGATGTCCTCAAAACGCTGCTCCCAGGCGAAATACTTGATGATTCGAATATTCTGGAGGATCTCATTAGTGCTATGAATCCGAGCATCGGTCCCCTTCAGGATCCGATTCTGAACCTTCGTAAACTGTTTGGCGATCGTAAGGTTAATAGGCAACATGAAGACCATAATGACGATTCCAGCAAACGAGCTGAATCCCAGGAGACGGTACAGAAGTGTTACAG